ATCACAGTAGGTTAAATACATTTTTGGGATATTCCAAACTAAAATAGTTAACTTAAAGCCTTTCAGAATTGCAAGGCAGTTCTGTTAACTGATGCCTTCTGTACAGGAAGAATGTATGGAAGCTTGCTGTTCATAGCTTTAAGAGATTGTTTGATACATCTATAGGAATTTTTTTTTCTAAATCAAAAGTCTGCTTCCCAGACTATTATTCTCACCATTTGAAATTGAACCTTTCTTGTTTTCTACTCCCTTTTACATTGATATTATATAGATTTACTGATCAAAAGCATGCTTCTGTCAGTGAAGAGAATATGTGCTGGTAATATAATCAATATTAATGTGACGTGTTTAAAAAAAAAAGCGTAGTTCTCACACCACATGTATTCCCATAACACTTCAGTGTCTACTTGGAGCACATTAGGATATTCTGTTTACATTTCGGTTAATTGTTGAGCTCTGGTCTTCAATAGAATCATAGAATCACAAGGTTGGAAACGACCTACAAGATCATCTAGTCCAACCGTCTCCTCATCATCATTGCCACCACTAGCATTAAGTAGATAAGGCTTTGTGTTGAAGCATTTTGTTGTGCAGTTAAACTATAAAGCTATATGTGTAGAGGTCTGCTGAAGGAACCCAACCAAACCACTGTACCTTTCACCTAAGTGAAAGGCGGTCAGTGATGTCTCTGAATTCGGGGGAGCAGACCTCAGCCTGATCATGAGGGTTGCTCTCAGAAGAATCTGGCTTCTGCATAGTGAACTTTATCTTCATCATTGAGAACTGACAATGTGTGAAGCTGTTGATCTTTCTTCATCTGGAAACTGTAATTGACTGCCAGCTAACAAAACTCCACTCAGGGTAACAAGAGAGTTGAAAATAAAGATTGAAGCTTGGGGCTTGATTCCATACTTAGTAAAAAACATGTCTGATCTGTCAAGACCTTTGAGTGTGCAGCTCTGTAATCTAGCACTGTTCAAGGTGGAGATCACAGCATGCATGTGTCCCAAAAGGTTCTGTTTACAGGAGGCTAAGACAGCAGCCAGCGCTCTGCTACACGAGGGCTGGCTTACAAGTGTTGTTGCACTTCATTGTTTTCTGCTCACCAAACAATTCAAATGACTGTGGAGAATTCTCTCCACAGGTCCTTACACACCTGTTTTGATAAGGTAGAAATACAGTATGACTGAGGATACTGAATGCCCTGAGAAAAACCTTGTAAGTTATTTCTCTGAATTTAGAACTTTTTGTATAACCCCTTGTAAAACAAATTCTCAGAAGTTTCACTCCTGCATCCTTTGCAGGATAACGTGCTGGGACTTCTGTGTTAGAGACTGTGTGCAGTTCTGAAAGATAAACTCAGAAGGTTCTGCCACCCCCCCCCCCCCCCCCAAAATAAAAGAAAATACAGCAGCTACGTAGTGTTGGTTATTTTAATTTTTCAAAATGAAAAAAAGAGGCTTTGTAGAGTGGTTACAAGAAAAATAAGTTTTTAGAGCTCATAGTGAGGATCCGGTAATCTCAGAGACATTTTCTGTGAAAGGTAGTGGATGCCTAAATGGCAATGTTTGTAGCAGTGCCATTTCTTCATTTAGCATCATAAATGTGCCTCAGTGAAGCACTTCTATGATGTGATTGCATGTCCTTTGAATTGGTGAATTGAATTTCTGTAATAGGAATGAAACTAGCTCAGCTAGTCGGAGTGTATTTTTAAAACTGTAAATTTAGTTTATCTTGTGAACAGCAGTTGAATTTATAAAATCTGATGTTTATTTAAAAAAAAAAAAAAAAAAAAGTAGTCTGCACCATTAGCACTCTGAAGTTGCCTTTAAAAGCAGGAGCCTTGGTGTAGCAATTGGACAGATCAATATGATGGAAAAAGGTGTTTCACCAGAGGTGTAATGACAGAAGGAGCAGCATGATAGCAAGGTGCTATAAGGGAAGGGGAAAAGATTGCTTACCTGTATCAGAAGATTCTAGATTTGTAGGGGAAAGCTCTAACACAGAGGGACCTCCAGAAAGAAATCCTTTCCTAGTGGCAGTCAGCCCTTAAATGAGGTCTAAGAGAAGTGCAGCCAGGCTCCACCCCTTCTGGTCACACAGCTGAATTGCCTTCACTTGTGCTCCCTGGCCTGACCAGGTCCTTTCCCCAGGTGCTCAATCAGTGCTTCAGGCGGTGACTCAATGGTTCCCATACACTGGGGCTGTGAGCTGAAGAAATACAGAGAACATTATTTTCTTGAAAAAACAGCTGCATGTGGAAGTCTGTCTTAACTGAGGGAGGAAGTTTGGTAGACATCTAGGATTTGCTTTGTGTTGAGAGAAAGCTTGACTTCAGCTTTCCTGACTTGTCCTTCTTATCACATGGATGATGGAGTGTACGTGTTCATTGTGTGGTGCTCTGTGGTTCTGGACATTAAAATCGAAAAGAAAAGCGAAACTGCAGCAGTGATAATGAAGAGAATACAGTGCATTCATTAGCATGTGTGGACTTCAAAAATGGAACAGAAAAAAATGAAAAGTCGTACTTCATCTGTGTGGTGAAATACCCACCTGCCCGCTCAATTACTCTCCTAATGGGTAGAGTGGCCCAGGAGTGTTGATCTCTTCAGTGCAGTAGTATTTAGGCACATAATAAATAAACCGATACCAAAACCTGTGTACCAGTTGTACCCTGTACCATTTCCAGTGAGTCTTAACTATCCATAGGGATTCTTGCTTCCCCATGTTTCCTAAAATAAGCAATATTGGGTATTGTAGTATCTTTTTCTGCAGTATGCATGTGGTATGCTCGACTTACATTGGTAAATTTAGGTAAGCTCTGAACTGTTATGGGCAGTGATTAGCAAGTAGGAATATTGAGTATCGCTAGTCCTACTTCAGTAAGTGGGTTGCTTCATGCTAAAATTGATTGTTTCAGAATGGCCAACACTTGAACACTTCTACTGTTATGAAGTGAGACAATGGCCGCTTGAACTTGTTCAGTTTCTTACGCTCTTACTAAAGAGTACTTCCCCATTGAGGTATATATTATGTACGTGGTAGCAAGGATATGTTGTATAGATCTGCTTTAAGAAAGGCCTAATTGCCCAGTGTGTAAATTTGAGGAGTATTTTTGTGTAAACGAGGAACTGTGCACTTTGTTTCTGAAAACATTGGAAGCAATGCACAAGAAGATTATGGAAAGCAAGAATTTTAAAGAGTATTCCTGAATGTTTGGCACCGTGTGTGCACATAGTAAGGCAATCGTTTCCCCTGAGAGTTTAGTCTAAAACACATGGAAATTAGAGGAACTTCTGCTGGCCCATTTCAGGAGCAGTGTTATGACTGTAGATGATAAGCCAACTGCAATTTGAAACCAGTCCTGCATTCTTGCAGTGTTGGAAAAGGCCTCCAGCTCCCTATGGGGCTCCCCACTTCACAAACCAGAACCTGGCGTGCTGTGCCAGCCACTTGTGCCTTGGTTGTCAAAGGAAGATTCTACCAGCATGTTTTCCACGTCTCCTTTCTGACTGTTCTTTGCCTGGTGTGAAGGTACTGCCTGGTACTCTCATTCCTGCCACTGGCCTTCCCACTGGAGCAAGGCATACACTGCTGCTAAGACTCAAGCAGCTTGAATTAACAGAGTGACTGAGGCAGAACTTTCCATGCCAGGAGGCTGAGCTGCATGGCTTGCGGTAGCCAGTGTGTAGAGGGTGGTAGGTCTATCTGGTTTTTGAATGCCAAAGGTTGCTGAGATAGCCAGGAGTCGTAATAATCTGCCTCTTGTGTTCTGCTAACAGTGAGTAGAGCTCTGCTGATGCCTTGCTTGTCAGGATACTTGGCGAAAGAGACTTGGTGAAAGTCCATACGGACACTCAAATGTTGCAAACTAGTTTTCATGAAAAGAAAATTCGAACCTGTTTATTTTAATAGTATCACTGGAATATACATCAATATTACTTCCTGTCCTTACAGAACTACTTTTCTGACAATGTATGTTGTCCTGTGTGACTGAAAAGTACAAGCTTGATAAGCTGTATCTTAGTTGAAAAAATGAGGCTGTATCATTTTGCATGGTGCTTGAGGGATATGTCTTTTAAATAGTGCATAAGGACTTTGGTATTAAATAACTTATTTAAGATAAAGCAACTGAACTGTTTCCAATTTGGAGATAAATTGAATGTTCGAGTAGTTGAAGAGATAAAAACAAAGAACACAGTTTGTTTAAATACAGAAGGGTGTTTGTCTAGATGATCTTTGAGACTGATTAAAGAGTCGTAAGTGATTTAAATACAAATAAGAAGGCTACACATCAGACTGCAGTCTGCTATTGTAGCTGAACTGCTGAGTTCATCTGGGTGCATCAGAAACTCCTTTTGTTCATCCATTCCCCTCCACCTTCTCTCTTCTGCTGATGCCAGGGGGGTTGCTTTACCCCCTGTCTGTAGGAGGCACCACCTGTGGGAAGGACTCTGCTACTCCTGGCTCCTTTCATATAGCTGATCCTGTTTCTTGATTCCTTGCCCTTCCAGTAACACTGTATTCCCTTTTACATGATGGTTACTATAGCCCATGACCTCATTTTCATTTTTCCTATGATTTTTACTAGTCTAGCATATCAATATGTTGATATCCTAAATAATTGAAATAATACTGAGAACAAGAGCCTTGCTGAATTGAAGGTTTTATGCTGAAGAGTGTTTTGCTCCCATTACTTGTTTTTTCATCTATTAATAATCAACTGGTTCGTGTAGGCTCCATGACTCTTACGTACCTCTAATAGATTTTAGTTTTCTCTAGAACTGACAGGGGTATTCTGATACAGGGAAGTTTCCTCAAAATTTCTAGAATTAGTGTTAATTTGTTATTAAATAACAGATGGTGAAATATTGACAGTTTGAGAGTACAGATTTTTCTTTTTTGTGTGTGTGTGTAGATCAGTGGCATATTTGGTTTACTTATAAAATATTCTACTGTAATTTAGAGAATATAATGAATTTATTTATTTGTTTGTTTAGGAGCAATGGATGAGCTTCATAGCCTGGACCCAAGAAGACAAGAATTGTTAGAGGCAAGATTTACAGGAGTAGTAAGTGGCAGCACTGGGAGTACTGGAAGTTGCAGTGTTGGAGCTAAAGTAAGTGCTAAGAACAGTTATCCAGATCTTCCATTTTTGAAACAGTATTTTGTATTGTCTCTTTTACATTGCCTGTGCTATTTACTGGTAAAGGATTGGAATGGGAGAGAGTCTCAAGAAAATTATTGTTAGTCACTTATTTTGATTTGAGATAGACTTCTTTATCCTGAACCATTCACATGTTTAATTGTTCTTAAAAACCCTGAAGTATAGTATTATACAGGCTCTTTTGTGGTTTTGTTCTCGTGTTCATGTGATCAGCACTGAAAGTTATTCCCAGTATTTAAAAGGAGCTATTCCTTCTGTAGATAGCCAACTACTTAACTAATGCTTGAGATAGACACACGGACCTCTGTTTTCAAAATTAATTGTTTTCTTGTTTGAAGATTTTTTATCTGTATTAGCAAAACCCAATTATTTCAACTTTTCAAGACACCTACATCAATTCTATGTATTTTGATTGTAGAATTTGTGCAATCTGTCCTCTAGTATCAAAACCAAGATGCAGCAGTTCAGGGAAGACCTTATGAACATCAACTACTATGGCTTAATTACCTTATATATATTGTATATTAACCTTTAGTTAATATATTTACCAAATAAGTTTGCTTTTATTACAAATCCCATTCAAGTTTATTTCAGTTTCCAAGACTAATTTCTGCAGTACTACTGCCTAGATGATACTGCATTTTGGTTTTGAGTATTTGGAAGTACTTCACCAAATAAATTTAGTTATTTTTTAACATCTTTACTAATTCTTAATCTAATTTCACTCATTGCTAAAATCTTTGGGAATTCTGTTTCCAAGCTCTATGTAATGCTCTTTTATTTTAAAATTTCTGTGCAAGCTTTATTAGCACTTTCCCTTTAATGTTTGATGTTTTTATTACCAGTCTGTATTACACAGCAGAATACTACCTGATAGCAGAGGTTGATGAAAGAAATCAGATTGAATTGGTACAATGTAACTGATGCACTGCTGTCTTCTCTTATTTAATTGTCTTTGAAGTGTGCCTACAAAAGATGTATGCTTTACTCTTGTAATTAGAAGAAGATTGAGGGAAAAGTCAGTAATTCTGGTTCATTTTTGTTACTTTCCTGTAACAACTTACTTCCTAATTTATTAACTCATTATAATTGCTCAAGTAATTACTTAAAATTCAGATGACTTTTTGTCCTTTTTAATGACTAGCTCTCCCTTCTTCTGAGTTCATGTAATTTTTCTTCTATTATTTTTTATACAGCTTTTTTGGTTCGTTGTAGTATTGTCAGTCTTTCTTCCTCAGAATCTGTCTACTACTGTGTTTAATGCGTTTTATTTGAAATCAGTTATCAAGTTTCTTGGGGTTCTCTTTCTTTAAACTTAACTCCCTGTGAGTTGCTTCTCATCAATCCAATAAATCTTTCCAAGACTTTTTTTAGTTGCTTGTTGTTCAACTGATTTCATTTTTACCTAAATTACGTTCCACTTTCTGAGGTCGTCAGCTAGGGAAAAGCAACAACAGCAAAAAAAAGCCAAAACCAACAAGAACAAAAAAAAGCCAGCTAATTGTCTTTTTCTCTCTACTACATGAAACACAAATTTCTAGTCCTTGGCACAGTCCTAGAACTGTCTGAAAAGATAGATGAATCTCATCCAATTGTTTTGCAAATGGATAGCTAGATAAAGTTTCTTAATAGTACTAAATGCTTTGATAGTTGCTTGTAAAAGATACCACTATCACTGTAGTTTTTAGATGGATACAAATCTTCACCTAGCAGATTTTGTTCTTAACTTTGACCAGATATACTCTACAAATGATCTGCAATGCACCTTGCAATATATGTTTCTTTCCCTGCTTATGGGAATATGGAGGGGAATACCAATATCAACTGCAGTTTATCCCACCATTAGTGAAGTGGCAATTCTGTCAGTTTTGTTGGTTTTTCTTTTATATCTTGAACTCATTTCTTACCACTCAGTGTATCTGGGCTGCTTGGAATTTTAATTTTTTTTTTAATTTATTTTTTTAAATAGTCTGTAGTCTTGTTGGTGGACATTATGAGAAGCTTATCTGATTTTTATTTAAAAAATAACACAATCTTTTTGATCTGATGCCCAGAGGTAACTGGAAGAAGGAGATGTGCTTGGAAGGCAAAAATGAGAACACCTCCTCTTCACATACATACCTGATTAAACTCACTGAATTCTCATTTTCATAATCTAGCAAGACAGTGCAGAGGCACACAGATGCATGCAGATTATTTTTCGAAAACATGCTAGGACTTTATTCTTCTAGTAATTAAATTGAGATGGAGTCTTCTTTATTGAGATTATTATTTGGAAGGCCTATATGCTGAATTGTTCTTCAGCTGTGGAGGAGGTAAAGTCCAGCATCTTCAAGCTTTTTCAGTAAGCAGTAGTGAATACATGAGTGTAGATTACTGAGATTATTGTTCTGACCCCAGTGACGACCTACTGAAGAATCACAAGGCACAAGGCATTTTTAAACCAGAAACTATTTTGGGGGAAAACACACGTTGAAATTTTGTGGGTTTAATTGCATTTCTCTAGAAATCTTAATTCAGACGTTATCTAGTTATTCCAGGAGATGTCACAGATCTATATTGTAAGCTGATGCAATGCTGGAATTGAATGCTTTGAAGCAAGTATTTGCCTTAAGTTGTTGCTTTACTTCAGAGTGTTTGTTCTGCCTTTCTATTGGAGAAGAGAATAATTCAGCAGTACAACATTTTTCTTTTAAAACAAAAAAACAAAAAACAAACCTCATGTTAGCACTTCTTGTGTGAATGGAGCAGACTCTTTCAATAAAATGTCCTTGTTGCCACTCTGTTCAAAAGATCTCTGAAAAAATCAGCTGTGGAACATTTCTATAGAAATACTATAATTTGAAACTATTAGAGTTTCCTTTTTTTTCTTCTTTTTTTTTTTTTTCCTCTCCAGTAGTCTGAATTTGTTGTTCTGGGAGATGTGATTTGTTGTAAGAATATACAGTAATATTGTCAATAAGTCATTCTTTTCTTTTGTTGAATGAATTTTAAAAGCAATTGCAATAGCCCAGTGTCTGACTTAAGAGAAAATTAGAGCCTCTTTTGAAAATTGTTAAGTCTCTAACACTTTGAGCAATATAGAATGTATAAGTCCATTCTGTAGAATCACCTTACAAGGCTCTTCCTTGGATCTTTTGCTATTCGCAAATAAGATTTTGAATGTTCCAAGGCTTTACTTGTCTCAGAAGAAATTAAAATACAGAATTGATTGCACTACATCAAAACACATAACTGTCAAATTTCTTATCCCCATTGCATAGTTCATCGTTTTATAGTAGTAAGGGACTCCATAGTTCATCGGCATAAAATTTGATCCCTGTTAATAGTTACAACTGTGATAGTAATGCCCTGCTATTTATATGTAATACTTAACAACAGTGAGGTTCTTAACAAATCTGTTTGTAATACATAACTATTGTATTTGTCTTGCTAGGCCTCAACAAATAATGAAAGTTCGAACCACAGTTTTGGAAGCTTGGGATCTTTAAGTGATAAAGAATCAGAGGTAAGTATGCTAGGCAGATTCAGTAATACCTCAAAGCTTTAATGCTAGCATGTCATAATTTATTTTCTACTCTGCTTTGCTTTATGTAGGAGCTTTTAAAGCAAAATACAGAAAAGCTAAATAACAGAAAGCATACATTACTATGTCCCATTCTTTGGGGTTTTTCTGGTCATGAGACTAGCTTTTATTTACTGTCTTTCTTCATATTCTTCCGGACTATAGATATTACCTATGTAGTCATGCCATGAGGAAAAACAGTTGAAAATGTTTAAATAATTTCCTAACTTTTTTCTGATAAACAGTAAGGCTTTCATCAACACAAATGTTGATTAATGTTTAACTGTGTCTTTGAAAATATGCCTGCAATATTTGGTGTAGATATTGTCTACACCAAATGTCGTGTTACACTTGGACACATGAGATGCAGAAGCAGGATGGTTTTTCTAAGGCATGTAAATCTGATAGTTCGCTTCACTTCTTCAGTCTCTGCACATGTTTTAACCTCAAGCCATGTTTCTGGATGGGAATAATATATATATATTCTACTACTTGGATTCTAAAATAGAAATGCTTCCATTTTTTAAATTGTCCCTACACAGAGCAATTCAGTGTTCCAGGTTTCTTCTGTTTTCTGAAAGTTCAATCTTAATGACACTGAATAATGAAATATGGTTGCTTGACCCATTTTCAGAAGTTGGCAGTTGTATTCGCCTGAAATTAAATTATAATTGTAATGCCAAGTATGTTAATAAGTTTTTAGAGTTTAGTTCTTAAAATATTATCTGGTTTCTTATATGCTGTAATCTTACAGGAAGAACACTTTAAATCATAGTACTAGAAACAAGATCTTTCTCTCTTTCTCTCTCTTTTTTTTTTTTTAATAGTTTGACATTTAAATTTTCATAATAGAGAAATTCTGTAGTAAAATGTAGAATAGAAGTGCAAAGACTTATTTATAAGGAAAGCAGCAGCATATTTTGATGTTGTGAGAAAAAGCTGCTGTTTGGTAAGCAGGTATCAAAAGAAAAAAAGAGTAGGAATGCAGTTCTCAAAATCACTGAAATGGATTTGTAGCAACAATCTCAGTTTCTTAGCACATTGTAGTGGTGCATTAATCATACTGGGTTTTTCATTGCTAAATTAGGAAGAAAAAAATGTCATTCTCACTTAGTTTTCAAAACAGGGCAAGCTTCCCCCAAAACCATTTTTGTTTTTTATTTTATATTTCATTTTTGCTTTCACAGTGCATCTCAGCAAATACAACTATAAGAATTGTGGTCTTTTTTTTTCTCTGCCAGATGCACCAAGAAAAGGGCAGCATAATTGAATAATAGTTTGAAGAGATACTTTACAAATTAAACTTGGATCTGCAGAATAACTTGAAACAAGCATTGCAAGCAATAAATGTTAACTGGCAATTTGAACTTAATATCTAGACCTGTGTTTCAGCTTCTTTTTAAGCTTATATGTTGTTACTATTTTATGAAATGTTTTATTGCTGTGGAGCATAATTTGAGTACATATTAGCTACTTGTAGTTAAGCTAAATTGGCTACCTCAGTCTGTGAATAGGTGCTTCTGATAGGTTTTCAGTATTTTGGCCTTCTTCCACCATCCCTTGTTCAAGTGGATTACTCCTCCTTGTTTTGGTTACAAATATATTCTTTTAATTACAACTAGTATTTTCTATTCTCTGAGGATAATGAATTATTTAAAGGAGAAAAGCTTTGTCTGTGCTTGATTTGTCCAGTTTGATTAGCTACTTAAATGTTTTGCTCTGCTTGCTTGTAGCTGTTGAGTTGCTTCAGTTCCCATTAATACAGAACCCTCATTATAAATGTAATTTCAGAAGTAACTGAAGGTTTGATCTAATTGGAATTTATAATGCGCTGCTGATGAAAACAGCGTCGCTGTATTTGTTTGCTGTAGCTGTAAAGCTTTGGAAGGGATAGGATTTAGAGAAAAGCACTTATGCAAAACTATCAACTCATTCATTGTGCAAATGAAAAACATTAACAGCCAAGAAAGCATACTGGAGGTTTAAGTGTTGAGACAAAACAAAATTCATTTTATTACTTTTTTTTTTTCCCTACAAAAATTACTTCCTGAGTTCTATTGTTAACAGTTCTGCAATAATGGTAGAAAATGTTTAGCTGCACATAAAGTATATAGAAATATTTATCTGAGCATCTTTAAAAGGAGATTAATTAGTTGAGAGTTGGTACTTACAAATGTTTATTTCATTAAAGAGTATGTTAAAATCCAGGAATTAAAACTATGAGTATGAGGAGAAGGCTCAGAGGAACCTCATTAAAATTAAAAAGTAAACTGGGATCAAGGTTGTGATGTGCAGAGTTCTGCTGATATGCCAAGCTCTAGGTGACTTTAACATAGTTTTAAAAGTTAACTTTGGATAACTTCAGAACTGTTTCATGTTGCTTATGAAATAACGGGATTTTAATCTAAATCTTGGCTGTAGGTACATCCTTCTGAAGTGTCTCAGAGCAGCTTCAGTCTTTACTAGGAGGCTACTCCTCAACCCCATTAGTCTTCAGCTTCTTTTAATTCCTGTGGTTTCATTCATTAGAAAGGATTTTGGAGAACATTTGCTAGTGTCTGAATATTGTACACTGCCATGTGAATATTGTTCTTAGAAAAGGTGAGTGTGACCTTGCTGGGTAACATCATTAGTGTTTTCGGCTCAGAAAGTTAAATCAGATAGTAGAAGAAATCAGAAAAGCTTGATGAAATAGGTGTTTACTTTTGGATTATTTTAGTTTTAGTTTTAAAACTATAAACCTCTTTAAATGTCTTCGAGTGGAATGCATGAGTCACTGCAGTTGGAAACTAAGTTTCTTGGGTGAGAATTTTAAACGGTTAAGCATGAATTAGCTTGCAGACAAGGTTTGGGGAGTTTTTGGCTTGATAAGGTAGGTAAAACTACATTAGAAGGATATTTGCAAAATTAAAAGTAGGTAAGTAAGGAATAGGATGAAAGTGATTGGCTAAATAGATTCAGTTCAGTTATGTGGAGAGATAGCTTAATGTTAACAATTTATGTGATTTATATTTACATAATTTATACAATTGCAATTTATATTGCAAATGATAAAAATAGTGTATCTAAGCCACATGTTCTGCCCTGAGAATTATGTAGTTTTTAGCTAACCTTGTTTTCAGGAGTCTATGCTGTACAGTCAGTTAGTGTACAGTAGGATTGTAAAGCATACGCATTGTAGTTGGAAGAATTAATTTAAAATAATATTTAGTAAATATATGTAAATTTAACTGCATTTGTAGCCTGTTAGTAAAACAGTTACAGTTGTAACAGTATGTTGTATAAATATTTGTAATATAAATAAGTAGCATAAATTAAGGAAGTTTGAGCTTTATTGTCCTGGCTTTCCCCTTCTGATTTTCTGTAGATCACAAGTAGCCTCTTTGCCAAAATAAATATTCTCAGATTTTTGTAAAAAATTTATGTTTGAAGGTATCCATGTGAAGTTTTTGGAACTAAGATGTATTTAAAGTTCTTTCAATGATCAGTTGAAATTTGAATTATCATTACATTTACTGTATTGAAAAAAAGAATCCTTTGAAGACAAACTGACAAACTTGGTCAAATGATTAAGGCACTGGTATCATAAAAGAATGAAGCATCTTCTTACCTGTGTCATATTTAGTCCAAGATATTAGGGACCACTCATTCTTTGACTGTAAAATAGAGTTCATGTAATTACTTCTGTGATTTCTCTTGTAACTGGCATGAGGTCCCTTGCAGACTAAGTGCACAGAAGCAGTATGTTTGCCTTGAACCAAGGTAGCTTGTACAATGTAGCTTACATTAAGGGCACTATCTGTTTTGAATGCTCAGTTCAGAGGAGAACAAATAAAACTTAAAGGAGCTTCTGATCAAAACTCTTTCTTGTTATCAATGTTGCCCAGAAATGACAATCAGAGAGTGCAGTGATTTATAATATTCCTGAAAAAAAATTGATTAAGTCCATACTTTTTCACCTATGATTAATGTTTTTATTTTACTTCATTTGAGATACGGAGAAACGGAGGGTGGAATGGGTAGATGTTCACATTTTGAGCTTTTAAAAAATTTTCTAAATCTAGAAATCTATAAATTACATTAGCTTAGAGATGACTTCTATACTTAGATATTAGGAACATTATTGTCATCATACTGAAGCACTAAAATTCTGTATTTATTCCGGGGCAGTGTGTAGTAAGCTCAATCAAAAGTCAGATTATTTCGTTAATGATAAAAGAGGTTGTGAAATACCAGATCTATAACCTGAAGATTTCTTGAGTGAAATGCAGCCTGGGCCAAATAAATTTGGATGTTCATAAACCCCAAAGCAGATGAAAAGGTATAATGGCTTTACAATTAATACACATAATTGCCTTTTGGACAGATATTTAAGAATTATTTCTTACTTCCTTCAGTATCTATTCTAGTTCATATTTGTTTGATTGACCAAGAGTCGTTATCTGCTTCAACTAAGATCTGAAATAACAGCCTTCCTGTTGATTTGTGAAGTCATAGTTTATGAATGAAAATTCCACCTTATTTCACAGTACTGTAGCTGTGATAGAAGTGAAATAGAGCTGTTGCTGGATCACGTTCTTTCTGTTCTTCATAGACTCCAGAGAAGAAACAGTCAGAACCTTCCAGAGGAAGAAAAAGAAAAGCAGATACTCAGAGTGAAAGCAGCCAAGGTAAACTGTAAATGAATTATATGGTTATTATACACATTTGATTAAATGATAATGCACAAATTTTTGATGTTTGACAGGCTTAAAAATTCTGTAGTATTGCTTGTAAGACAGGTCTTGGGTTTGGGATGACAAACATAAATCTTTTCACCCTACCTCAAATTTATCCATCAGTCAAAGGGATGGGCAATTAAACCTGGGCTGTGTTGGTACTTGACCATAAGAGTTGAGCATTGCTCTCCGCATAACTTGCAGCAGTTATTGGCATTCTGTGTACTGTTTAAAAACTAGCAGTACTTTTGTGTTTTGTATTTCTTTTCAGTAAGTAAGGGGAAAAGTGGATTACTGGTTATGATATCCGAGTGCTTGTTTTTTACATGTATATTTAAAAATAATTGAATTTCATACTTTCTTACTGTGGATACAGTGTAGTGCTCTAGAGCTGTGGGAGGCTCGGGGTGAGACAGACTTTCAATTGAATGTTTACAAAGCTTGTTTTGTTTTTGTTTTTGTTTTTTTGTTTCTCTCTTTAGTGTGACTTTTTGAGGGAGGAAATAGAAATTTCAAGGCAAAAATTCATCAAAAGGGAAGAGAAACCAGTTTTATTGACATCTCCTTTAGATTCTTTTTGTTTCTAAGCTAAAATGCCACTTCAGATGCTGTCAGTAGGCTCCATATCCAGAGGTCTTTGTGATACAACATACTACTACTTGAAGTTCTATATGGTTTCACTAGAATGGCTTTCTTTGTCTTACTCAAGAGACCTGGTTTGTTCAGAGAGCTTCAGTGAAGTTTCCTATTTTCATTGGTCTGGTAGCTTTTCCTTCCTACTACAAGACAGAGTTGCAGTTAGGGAAAATAAAGATTAGTTAAGATAAAGATTAGTTAAGATAAAGATAGTTAAGAACTTTTTGGCATACACAACATGATTATAATGTCTAATAATTAATGTTTTACTGTCAGTAGCAGTAAACTGAATAGTCTGCACTGCAATATTCTGTAGGAACAAGTGTAGAAAACAGGAGTGTAGTGGAGTTGTATAGTTGAAGCACATCAAATACTGCTATTGGAAAATGAGGAGCAATGGATGCAGCTGTTGTATACAACATACCTAGGATTTTGTCTACCATAGCAAAATCATCCAGAAAGGTTGGACTGAAATATTTTTAGGACGTGGAGCTAATTAATTAGAAAGTGGGATCAAAACAGTGTGAATCTACTTCTAATTGACTGCCAAAATAAGTTGATGTTGTCAGTCCATCTGTGCAGAGTACATAACATGATGTGGAATAGAAATTTCTATTTAAAAGAAAAGCCTTTCTAATTTACCTGGACGAAAACTGATTTAATTTGATAAAGTGAGATGTGGGAATCAAGCATAAAAAAGACAAATCTAACAGAATCACATGGTATGTAAAGACCTGGCTGGAGGGCAGTAGTAGTGATGTACAAATGGGGTAAGTACTGGAGGAATTATCTGTGTGCTATTCTAGGTCTTTCAGTTATCTGAATATTTCTTTTAAAAGTCTTTGACACACAGAGGACTGCCATATGTCTCTTTCTTCATGAGAGTGTTGGTGACAGAATACTATGCAGCAATCCCAGTATAGAGACATGCTTGACTACAAAGAGTTCTTGAGAGTTGAAGCAATAGGAAAGCTTGAAAGGTTTTGCTGAAAATGACAGAAAGATTAGTGGGAATAATCTCCTAACTTATTACAAAAATTTATTCCTGTGAAGAGGTTTTGAAGTTTAGAGCAGTGGTCCACGTTGTCTTAAAGGTGAATAGAATATGTATGTCATTTGATAAGGCATTGGTGAAATTTTTGGAATGCTGCATATGGATTGTCAAAGAAAGGTGAATTCAAGTTGGTGCTCTTGTCTTGTTACTGGTTAAAATAAAAGAAATTCTGTTGTCTTGTTCTGATCTATTTATCTCTGTAGTGGAGGCTGTGACTTGAAATCTGATTATTACGCTGGGAGGAATGGAAGTACTCATCATCTTCCACATCCACAGTGTTAACTGGCATTTAGAGAAGTCCTTAGGCTGAACATCTGGGCAGAATAATTCACTTGGAGCATATAATATTAATGGGTTAATTTGGTATTTCAGATGTGGGTGAATTTGGAGATAACGCTTGTAAAAGGGAGATGCTGCTAAAGGTTTCATCTACAGGATGAAGGATGTGCTTCCTGTTATCTAGAAGAGGTCTTTCTTACTGCTAAGTGTGAACTAAATCTGATTTAGAAGTATGGGTTGATTTCTGATTTCTGAATGGAAGGAACATGCAGATTTTGTTGTTGTAACCAATCCCTTAATAATCTAATGGTGGGAGGTCATGTATTATCACATCAAAGAAAACCAACTAACAAGTGTTAAGATTTTGCAATAATTATTGTACAGGTAAAAATGTAACACATCTATAAGTAATCTTTTTAATCTATTATAATGTATTTATTTCAGGAAAGAGTATCGGGGGACGTGGCCACAAGATTAGTGACTATTTTGAGGTAAGGGTTTTGTCTTCAAATTTACCTTTTTTTTTTTTTTTTTTTTTTTTTTTTTTTTTTTTTTTTACAAGCAATTTTAGGTGTACTTGTGAACTCCTTAGTTGTCAAATTCTGCAGTGACAACATAGCGTTGCTTTGTTTTTAGTAGGCTGCCCTTCTTACAGTTGTGTATGAAAATACTAATTAGAATAAAGTACAGCCTTTCTTCATATGATATACTTTTTTAAAATTTTCAATGTAAGTTTAGGTGCTAAACCTTGAAGTAGAGATTCAGTTTCTTGGTGCAGCCTGATCTGAAAGACAGAAAATAGTTTCTTCTGCACTTTTCTTCAAGTGACACAGGGCTTCAGTAATCCAAATAATACAATCTAGATTATGTATTCATTGTACAGATGAGCTGTGTCATTCAGTGTTTGTATGATGTATTTTAATTAAAGAGGTTGAATAATTTGAGGGTCATATCTTCTCTTCAGTACCAAGGTGGCAACGGCTCTAGTCCAGTTCGAGGTGTACCTCCTGCAATCCGATCTCCTCAGAATTCACATTCCGCCCCTTCTTCTGTAAGTTTGTGAACTTCATGGCTGCTGGAGTTTCCTTCTCTAAAAGTAGCATGGTTTAAAAATATCTTTATGCAGCTATTTTTCTACTTTTTCAAAGGAAGGAATGATAGGAAGGAATTCATTTTTAAACAGCATGGGGGAAAAAAAAGGATCAAGTTGAATGTTTAAAACTAAAATTTTCTACAAGTAAATTCTTAACACTGTTGCGTTGGGTTTATTTATAAAATGATTTTTGAGCACAAAGCAATGTGAAATGACCTATACATGTTAAAATGTTCTTTTGGTGTTTATTCGAAACCTTTGCACAAAATAAGTGGGTATTTTATTACTTTCAGGGAAGGAGAACCCCTTATGCAGGACTTGAAAGCTAAGCTTTTGATAAATCTTAAGTTTTTAAACAATAATTTGCCTGTTATTAAATGTTTTTCTTAGTCACAAATTCATTTTTTTCCCCTCGTGCTTATTTTTGCGTTAGGTATACACATGTGATTCTTAATGGCCACACAGATTCTGCCAGTTGCAGAAATTATTTATTTTTTGTGATGGTGGACATTAATTTCACTCTGTGTACTTTCAAACATATTGCTAACTATATGGAGGGTAATAAAGATTGTGGAAGTTGGCTTGAATATACTGTCTCATAGAATTGTTAAGATTGGAAAAGACCTCTAAGTCCAACCATCTTGAAGTCCAGTCATCAACATATCACCCCCATGCCCGCTATAACATCACAATGTCCACCAAACCCATCATCCTTTGGATGAAGCCCAGTCTGGAGAAGCTTAGCCCCATTTTTTGGGACTCTTCTGTCCCAGGTTCACCCAGCTGAGCCCCCTTCATTTACTGTTTGGGTTTTTATTAGGAGAAAATCAAGCCTTTCACAAGTCAGCACTAAAGCCAAGCATTTTCTGGCCCTCACATAAGGGCTTGAATGAAATTTATGGACTGCAATGCCTAACACACAAATCAGTGTTTCTGGGAAGTTTCAGTAACACAATTTGTGTTCTGATCAGCACTAGCTTCCCCTTTCAAGTTATCCCATGGGAAATAAACTCTCCAAAAATAACTCACATTATTTTTTGAGTTGCAAAATCTTAGAATCAGAAAAATAAGTCTTTATAAGACAGGCATTGCCTTGTGTCAGTCTTGTATTGTCTTAAATCTTTCCATCTGTTTCCCAGGAGTGACAGTCCTAGTTTTCTTAGAGTATATATTGCATCTTTTCTAGAATACAAGTTATGTATGACAGCACAGTGATAATTCTCAATGCAGTGTACCATATAGTACCTTGTGTATTTAGGACGCTGTATTTCTATGTTCTGTATTGTTATCCTGCCAAGAGTTGTAAACAAGGTTATGTTCATAATTGAATATTACATTTACATCTAAAATTCTTTGTTTTCATGCATTCCAGGTTCGACAGAATAGTCCTTCTCCTACTTCATTAGCTTTTGGGGACCACCCTACCACGCAACCAAAGCAGTTATCTTTTAAAATTACTCAGGTAAGCGCTTTTCAGCATATAAATTCAAACTGTAGGAAAAACTGGTAGATGTGTTATTTCTTGGGTTTCCAACTATTAAACTCTTAAAGGATTTCAGAAGCTTTGCTTTTTAGTCTTCAAAAGAACTTTTGTTTTTAAGTTCAGCAGCTCATAATTGCAGTCTCTTGAATTAGTTTTGTGTTTTGCACTCTGCTTCCAATTTTGTGCTTTGTGAGCAGTTAGACAATGTGCTTGGTATGCTTCTGCAAAAGATTTTAACTGTTGTGTGAACTTAGAAGGAGAGACTTCTCTTTCAGATAATACTTGAGATGGCAGCTGCTGTTCTCATATAACTACTTAAACAAAACAGAAAAAAAAGTGAGATGATAGTCAAAATGCAGTATAGTTCCTGTCATGGCATTAAAAGCCAATAGCATGTTTCATCATCTCTGCCATTTCTAATGCAATTTGTTCTTCTTTTCACGAGTTACTTAGAACAAGATTACCTTGGCTGTTGACAGATGCACAGGATTTAAAGTAGTTGTGTATGTCACCGAGAAAGTAATGCCTCCTATTTATTTCCATGGAAATTACAACAGATACGAAGAGAAAAATAACACTCCATAGTAGAGTGAATTCTCAGCTACCAAACACTATTTGTCAACGTGGTCAGCACCGTTAGCTCTGCATTTTTGTCAGCTATGAACAACAGCTTGTATGTCACTCTCATAAAAATTTGCATGATAGTCTAGAACATGGCTTGTCTTTCCCATCGCTGTCAGAACTGATGAAATGTACCAGCCACTGCTTCACTGTGCTCGCATCTACTGTTGGTCTCCATAAATGTTCTGGAAGTGTCAGTGAATGTTAACAGATGTGATTTTTTTTCTGCACGATGAAATTCAGTGATACATTTTTATTTCATACACAGTTCCATGTCTTATGCCATTTTGCCAAAGTGTCCTTCTGCTACAGTCTGTCACATGGCAACAAAATGTGAAAGACTACTGTTGAGAAGGTTCAATCTCTACTGTACCACCATGTGTCTCTGATGTCATGGACCAGTATACTAAAACAGGAACATTACTTTTGGAGCAGCCCTCAGTGTTGCCATCTATGTTCTTGCCTTGCTTTATATTCTTACTTGTGAACTTGTCCATGAGTGATGAAGTCTTCTCATGTTGTTAGTGATTTGTTCCAGCTGTTCCTAGCTCTTCCTAATGAAGGGAAAGAACAGTTTTGAATATGAAACTTCCGTGTCACTACCAAAATACATGGAAGTAATATGTGCTGCTGGTACAAGCTCATTTCCCTTTGTAACAAACATGACAAAAATAATGCTGTAATTATTAAAGAAAAGTATTAAATACTTTAAAATGTTCTTTTCAGACTGATCTCACAATGCTGAAATTAGCTGCACTAGAAAGTAATAAAAATCAAGACTTGGAAAAGAAAGAAGGTCGTATAGATGACTTACTCAGGGTAAGTGTAAGATCTGCGGTAAAACTATTCAGAAAAAAAGGCAATGGATCCTCAGCAAATATTGTAAATGCTTGAATAATCAATGTTTTTCAATGTTACCCTGGAATTACATAAATAAAAAGTTGAAAAATGTTCTTTTTATTTTTTCCTGAAAATCTGAGAAGCCTGTAAAATAAATGCTTAAGGCTTTTTTCTTCTCCATATTACAACTTGTTAATAACTAAATACGTATTTCTATACTTCTTGAGTTTCCAAAATGCTGATGTTGTTTTTCAAACACTTGGTTAATTCCTTATGTTCTTAATATAATTTCACACAATGGATTTTTGTTTTGTTTTAATTGTGAATAACAGTCGTCACTGGGACAGCTGCAGTTTCAGAATGAAGGTGGTTGTGGCAAACTGTCATGGGCGATAACTACTTTTAATAAGAACCTACCCTATGCTATACTGTTGGTTTTTTTAATACTTATTTTCAGATAAAGGAGTCTTAGTTCTTATATCCCTGAGTGTAGGATTGGAAAGGTGGTATTTTGGAATGTGAAATAAACTGCATACTAAAGAAACAAAAAGCACTCCATTCACAATTCAGAGGCTGCTATATGTGTTTGTATGTGTGCAAGTATATATCCATGATACCATACATATAAAATTCTGCTTGCAGGCTTTGTGGGTACCTGGTTCAGCTCATGTCCAACAGTATGAGGTAGAAAGCTAACCTTAAAAAAAATCAATTAAACAGAATAATGTGTTTTTCTAAGTTGCTAAAGATAACTGCAACATAGGAAACTTGGTATACTTTCTACTCAGATAATTTAAATTTTTCACACTAGAAGTCCATAATGTAAGAGTTTCATTTTATATGAAAAGCATTAGAATTTTGCATTATTTTGGCAATCGAACACGAAGGATCCAGAGCTAAATTAACATCAGTTTAGCTCTGGAAGACTGGAAAAAAATATTAGTACAGTATCTTTATACATAGAAAATATACAAGCTGAATACTGTCTAATACAGAATGCAATTTGGTGTAAAGGAAGTGATGTTCTTGAATGCATTTTATTTCAAGTATATTCCTGATTTTAAAACAGAAAAACATCTTTTACACATCCATTCTAATCTGTAGGAATGGTATAAACGTTTTCTTACTATATGTGTATATTTATGTATGTTCCCTGCTTCAGCTGTGTGAAAGATGCATGTGTTGAAGGTAGATGCCTTTATTTTCACTGGCATCTGATTTAAAAAGAAAAAAAAGTGTTTCAGTATTTCTTCTAATATTTCTTGTATCTATTAGGCTAACTGTGATCTTAGAAGACAAATAGATGAACAACAAAAGCTACTTGAAAAATACAAGGAAAGATTGAACAAATGTATTTCAATGAGCAAGAAGCTTCTAATTGAAAAGGTAAGCTTACTTTTAAAATGTTTGTGATAAAAACTCTGGAGGGCTGTAGAACTCTATTATAGTTCCTTCATTTTAGGTTTTACTTCATGATTAGTCTCTACTGAAACTTTGTATTAATGGTCTCTATCTGGTTAATATCTATTGGACTTACGTCTATGTGCAGTCCAGTCCCACCTAGAGGTTCCTGAATCTGGTCACTTTGGTTCAAGTAGTAACAGTATCCAAGCTGACTGGAGCTGATGTGCTCCTAGTGCATCTAAGATTTGTTTATTATAATAGATGTGTACAAACATAATTTGCATAATATACTTCCAATGCTGATAGTTTATCGATTCTGCTATATTTACAAATGTTCTTTTAATTATGAACATAAATGAACTTTATAGGGAAACTGAGTCAAACTCATCAGCAGCACTGATTCTGACAAGCGCAGATATTTGTGTTCTGCAGAAGTTAGAATAAAAAGAGTAAGGTAATAAAAGGGTTTTTTTGGGTTTTTTTATTTTAGTACTAACACTTTAGTATTACTAAATATGAATATATTTTGTTTTCTTAGAGCACACAAGAAAAGCTGGCAAGCAGAGAGAAGAGCATGCAAGACAGATTACGCCTGGGGCATTTTACAACAGTTCGTCATGGTGCTTCATTTACTGAACAGTGGACAGATGGCTTTGCATTTCAGAATCTTGTAAAGTTAGTCGATGCAGCGTTCTTAAATTCTCACTTAGTTCCCTCTAGTGGATTTTTTTTTTATTTCCGTGATTCTAAGTTTGGAGCAGCTTTTCATACATTATATGTTGCTTTGCCTTTTGAATACTGAGAGTACAGCACAAGCCTCCCTTAATCAGCTGAGGGAACACTGAGGCTGGATGTCCTTGAAAAATGATTTGGTTTTATTTGATTTTAGCCATCCTTACAGACATATGTGAATATACTAAATGAGTAGCTTTTGATTATTCAGCTCAGCTTGTAGGAAGAGCTGTGAAATCATATCAGTGATGTTTTCAAGCAGCTAACCAAGTATCAGTGTTGATCATTGGGACAGATGAGTTCTGTGACTCTCTCACTGGTCATGTCGCGTAGGTGCTCTCTGCACATCCATGTTTGTAGCAGCTTTTTCAGGCATCCAGCTCCTTGTTGCCATGAAAGGTGAGAGACAAATCTGGCACACTCAGATAGTGTAACCCAAAGGGATGAGAGAAAGTGGCCAGCTGGAAAAGAGCTGCTGCTTCAACAGGTATTTCAGCACTCTGTAGAAGTGGGGCCAACAATGAGCAGTTTGGGAGACAGTCGGGGATGGTGGTAATTGTGGAGTGCATCTTTAAGATGTACTTTGTTAATGAGACTGAGTCAGTCTGTGGCTTTATATATGTAATTTACCAAGACATTGGTTTTTTAAGGGGATTGTGTTGTCTTAATATTTTGTGTGATTGCCTAGATGTTAAGATTGTCTAAAAAAAATCTATGTATGTGGTTTGTAATTGTTCGCCCCACAATCAAACCAATGATTTACTTAAGAAAGGTCAGATCAAGTTCAGCATTTGGCCTATGAAAATCAGATATTCCTTTATTGCTTTTGTTACATTTCTTTTGATGGTATAAAACAACATATATCCATCAGCTGAGATATGTATTATTTTTTTCAGTACAGAAATAATGTGAGTCCTTTGGAAAAGGGGGGAAAAAAAGAAAAAGAAAACACAAAAGGAAATTGTTCCAAAACTTTGAAGAATCATATTGTTATTTTTCGTAAGAAATGTTCTTATATGTACAGTATATTTGTTTAAGAAAATATAAACTTAATGCTTCACAGGCTTAAAACATAGTTATTTTAAAATGCAAAAGAATGAAACTAATAACACTTTTTTGGGGGGTTTACAGGCAGCAAGAATGGGTGAATCAACAAAGGGAAGACATTGAAAGGCAAAGAAAGCTCCTGGCCAAGCGAAAGCCACCAACTACAAATAATTCTCAGGCACCATCTGCCAATTCTGAACCCAAGCAGAGGAAAAATAAAGCTGTGAATGGGGCAGAAAACGATCCCTTTGTTAGACCCAATTTGCCACAGCTGTAAGTTTAACATTTCAATCAGTCTTTTACATAAATTCTCTGATATTGTCTATGTGAGTTCCATTCAAATAACAGCATAAAAAGACATTCAGTATATTCAGTAGCTGTGTTCTCACTGAGGACTTGCTGATGTTAAGGAAATTTTCACCACTGCCTATGAGATACTGTACAGTTGCCCAGGTTATTTTTGGTAGAGTCACCAGAGAAAGGTCTGTACTGTGTTTATGCAGTGTTCCTTCTGTTTCATAATGTAGAGGAGTTCTTATTCTGATTTCTTGTTCTTGAAATGTTACTGATTTCTGTTGAACTGTTACTCATCCTCTTTCGCTTGGAAACCTCTTCTTTAGTTATTTTTTTTTTTTAACAGTTGTTATCTGGCAAGAAGAGTGCTAGTATTTGGTGACATGTATTTAAAAAAAAAGAAATGGAAAAATTCTTTTTCCAAATGCGGGTCTCAAGAGCAACTGTCAGCAGTTACTGATCCCACTTCACATATTGACACTGGAAATTTTTCATAGTTTACACATAAAATTAAGGGCTATCAAAGAATTCTCAGTTTTTCAAGTGGCAGTATTTTCTTGTGGACAGAAATCCAGGGCACAGACAAGTATATTCTTGACATTTAATTGAGCATTTTAAGAAGTTTCTGCTTGCATATGGTAGTTACTGCCCTTGTTGTTGGGAGGCTGTAGCTGACGGTCTGTCTGTTCCTCATTTAAATGAAAAGTAAGTAAGTAGGTTTAGAAAGACTAGCAAGTTGATCCTTTTTCTTTGCAGAAGGAGGCTGAGTTTGTTGCACATTGTCACATGTCACCTCTCACTTGTGTAGGTCGTTTATACCCTGGGGGTAGGGAACTTCTAAATTCCTTCAGTTAAGTCTGCAAAATGATTTGTTTGGGGCATCATTTCAAAGAGTAGTGTATATGTTTTACATAGGGTGTCATTCTTAAAGACTGCATTGTGAAATTGTTTGGCTGTGACACAAGTACCATGAAAGTATACTAGTAAAGCTGACAGTGTAAGCAAGTCTTGATTAGTGTTACTCGTGTCCTTTGGCAGAGCTCAAGAATGATCACTCAAATTGATTCTTTGCAACACTTAGTGCCTCCGCTGCTTCTCTGAGAGCATAATTAATACTTCTGAATAGCAATAGCTTACTGTCACTTTAAAAATACCTTTTTGTTTCAATGTAATAAATGTTAGCAACATTTAAGGAAAGAAAAAGTCTGAAAAGTTACAGAACTTTTAATTCACCAGCATGTTACATTTGCAAATGTATAACCACCTTTTATAATGGCCACTTTTAATGGCAATGTCTATATTCCGTAGTAAAAAAAGACAAAGCCTTTTTTTCAGTTGACACTAAGAATTAATACAATAGGCATCCAAGCAATGTTTTCAGAGCATTTGAGTCCATATAACTCTAGCCAATCCTTAGCCTCTAATCAGTAATCAAGAAAAGAGGTATCTTTCTTTTAGATGTTTACCATGTCAGTGAGAGAGATTAGTATTTCTATAGTTGGTGGGCCAGTGTTAATGCTCCAGACTGTACTTGGGATATATTTCCTGCTATAGAAGCTACCATTAAGTTTCCACATTAACAGCAAAAGTTCATATAGTATTATTAACTTTTCAGGAGTTGAACATTTTTAAAATTTCAGGTATGCAAAGGAATTTTATTTTAGAATCCTTCCATGAATAATGGCTTTATTTTTCTGTATGTCATTTAACAGTCCATTGCATTGTATTAACTATGAAATAGAAATAAACATAAATAATGAAATTGTGGCAGTAGGAAGTTTGTATTTCTAGTTTGTTTTCTTTATTCAGGGAATTCTGTGCTGCTTTTTCTGCTTCTCGTTATATAGATAATATTTAAATAATGACATGATTATATAGATTGGATGATTAAATGATTATCTAGATACATTTTTAAATGGATTTTGATAACCCAGCAAGTACTGCTTGCTGTTTATTGGTATATCTGACAGCTGCATTTGATCCTGTTTTCCTTCATGTTAAATTTTCTTAATTGTGTTGTTATTTTAGCAGGTGATTAAAATGTACAGTCTGGGGAAAAAAAATACAGAAGGTAGGGTCTAGTTCATAATAAGACCAAGGCAAATTACTAAACAAAGAATCAGTTTTTCATTGAATTCAGCTTAACCAATGTGTTAAATGGCACAAGAAAATGCCTGCTGTAACAGAATTGCCCAGAGAACAATCAGAATTGCCCTTCTGTGTCTAGTAAACTGTTACCAAATTGAAACTACTTTTGCTTAATTTGATCACATTATCATCTTCATGTAAGATTTCTTGTTTTTATGACAAACTTATTAATGTTATTTCAAATCTCTGAGGTTTCTAGTATGTCCTGAGATTACAGAAGCATTAAGCTGTGTCATGCTCTTACGCCTTTACTTGAAGGGCATTAAAAATGTTTACATTAAGGATTTGTTACAATGTTACACAGCAGTGCTGTGTGTTGACTCCTCTTTGCTTCTGAGATCTGAACCTGGCTGAAACAATTACTAACTGTGCTCTCCCATTTTTGTGTAAATTTGTCATCTGCGTGTGATCTCCTCCTATTACATTGTGCTTATCACCGTTCCTGTGTTATGTCAAAAGTAATGATCTTAATTAGTACAGTCAAATGGAAGATGTTCTATTTCTATTAGGCCAGGGAAAATGCAGAGCTGCTGAGATTAATGAACTATAACAGTAATAAATCAACACAACGTACATGCAAGTGATTAGGCAAATCTTTTTTAAGCAAACCAACAACTTGCTACTGCATATTAGTAACAAGTGTCCCTACGTTGCTAACATTATTTGCTTTAGAAGTTATCTCTAGTTCAGCTATTGACAAGAGAAAATGATCTATAGCTTTGTGTAACAAGCAGTGTTATTGAAGCTATTTTTGAAAACAGTGGTTAACAGTTTTGAAATCAATTTAAGGTGTTGTCCGAGGCATTCTTTAGTAAGAGCATTGCTGTGTTTTAGCAGGACATGTTCTCTGATATCGATTTAAAAGCAAAGTCTTGGCACTGGAGTTACCAATAGAGAAGTGGCTATCTGACATTGCTCAATGAGTGAAAGGTGATTTTGGATGTTTAGGCTCATCCTGCATCTTATTTTTTAAATGCTGTCCTGATTTCCAGCATGCATTCAGGTTGGGTTTTTTTTTTTTGTCCCCAACCAAAAATTTTGAGTTTTGAGAGATCCCTCTTTACTGAATGAAATAAAGTAGTATATTGAAATATCTTTGAAGAAGAAACATTATTTAAAATACAGTTAACTTTCATAGCCCTGGGAAAATGTGTTTCCATTTCCAAATTCCAGATTCTTGATGACTTTAGAGAGCTTTGAAAGTGTTTTGGTTTTTTTAAACAGACTATTATTTCTGGAGGCAAAACTTGATGTAATTTGGGTGGTATAGTCCTTCCCGTCCACTTTCAGGTGTATTGGTTGTATTTAACACTCAATGATTTCTCTGCTTGCCCAGTTACTCCATGAGAGTCTGCATGCATTCTCATCCCTGTACATAATTTGAAATAGGAGAGCATAAAGAGCTGGCAGAGTTTGTTAATGTAGCTGAACAAATGCATCGTTTAGAGAGAGCATTCTGTTCTGCATGGAACAAACAAAAATATTTTCAGAAACTTTTTCAGATTGAAGTGCCAACAATGTGTCTTGGGCTTTACAGAATGAGTGACAACAGCTCTTTTCCTGAGGCTGTCTCTTTTTGAGGCAGACATGGAAACAATGGAAGAAATGGGACATGGTGAAAAGACTTCAGGGAAATCTTGAATTGGTCAGCTTTGCTGCCCATCTTTGTAGAAATTCTAGGAACTTGAATAAGTTTGACCCCCCCCCCCTCCAAAAAAAGCACTTCACAAATTGTACCCAAGTGCTTCTATTGGATGTGCAAATTGCTGTTTTGGGGCATAGCAGCATTCTGCTGTATGTATGTACCCATGATGATTTTTCATCTGGGAAACAGTGGGAAAAGAGATTGTTGTTCATGTGCTGGGTTTAATTGCCATGACAACAAAGGAGTGTGTGGCCATTTGGACTTTTTTTGTCTTGTCAGTGGCCACTAGTAGGTATGTTTTTATCACAGATGAAGGTTTTGTTCTAACCTGTGAGGAAGAAGTGCAGAGGTTGGTAAGGTTACCTATGCATACTGTGTCAAAGCCTTAGAAATTCAGCTATGAACATTGTTAAACTATTGGAAGGCTCTTTTTTTTTTTTTTTCTTTTTTTTTTCTTTTTTTTTTTTTTTCCCCCCTAATAAAATAAAGGTATGGTAGTTTTGAGTGGAAGAGGTCATGGTCAGGACCCAAATGTTACCGGATTCATTCACACTGCCTACCCCCAGCTGGTCTCTTTCTCCAGCACTCCTTCTGTCAAGCAGAAGCTCAACTTTCCAACTGCAGTGCCCTTCCTGGATGGTGGCAACCTGTCACCAACCACTGTCCCTCCCATGTGTGCTCATTGGTCTCTCCTCCTCCACATCTGATGAGACCTGCCTTGGTCTTGGGTGACTTGGTCTTGGGCAGCCTCTTCTGCAGAAGGTAGTGGTGTCTTGTAGGTCACCTGTTGTCAGGTATGATGACCACAGGAGGTAGGTGGTGGAAGCACTCTAGTCTTAGATGTTTTGGGCCTTTGCAATGGGGCGGTGGCATGTAGCTAGAAAACAGGCAGTATGCATATTGTCCTTCTTTTGCTATTTGTTATATACTGTTTCAAGAGCATTAATATAAAGTGTATTAATAGATTAAAAAAAACCCCAACAAACCAGCACTTCACCTCTGTGCTTTTTAAACGAGTACGTATGTTTCTGAATGTAAGAGGGAAAAAAAAGCTGTTTTTCAAAACTAAGCTAACAAAATCCAAAGCAGCTATCTCTGCTTACAGTTCAGAATTTTACATGCTTTCTTCTGAAACATAGTGGTCAGTAACAACAGATTTAAATCATTGTTAATTGTGCTGTGTCTCTAATAGAATTAGATTTGTAAGGAAATAGAAAAATGAAAATAGTGATTTATTGGGTTGTAATGTAGACATATGGAAAGAGTGACTTCAAATCTTAATGTTTTCAATACGACCTTGAACTTGTGCTTTGCACTGAAGAGAGCTATTTAAGTACTTCTTGGAAGGCAATACTTATTAGAACCATCTAAGCACTTTGTTGTAACTGCGTAGATAGCTGAGATTTAATTAAAATTTAAAAAGACCATGTATGGTCCTACTATTACTGCGTTATCATCTTAATATCATGCATCTTTGGTTTTAGGGCTTTTAGTGTTCAAAGAAATTTCTGGCATATCTTATGTTACAGACTTTATATTTTCAGCGTGTTTTACTTGTGATTCAGCTTTTCTAATCCACCTAAAATACTTCTGTTTGAAAATTTCACATAATCTGCATTTCTGGAAATAGATACACAAACCTGGTATTTATACTGGAGACAAGAACCTGGAAGGAAATAATACTTAACCTTATTCACCTTGGTTTCCTTTGCTTTTTTTTTTTTTTTTTGTGAGAGCCTAATCCATATTAGAGCGGTTAGCTGTTCAAGGAATACTGAGAAAAGCATCAGAGATGCTGCTGTGAGTTGTCGAACTTGGCCTTAGTGCTGTCTTTGATGGATCTTTGATTAGAGCAGGAATTAGAGCACTGTTTCAGGTTTCTTGCTGTCATTTGGGAAATGCAATGCCAGTGTTCTTAGCCTATTGAGATATCCCATTTCACATTTGCTTTAATGCCTCTCCTTCCTTCCCAGAGGAGATTCTGTCAGGAAAAAAAATGTAAAAGTTTAGTGCCAAAATGTGTCTCTAAGGGAACCTTCTCTTCTTGAAGAGAGAGGTGAATTTCCTCGCTTTTTGCCTTCAGAATGCTTGTGGATTTCTCATGGCTGCTATTCATTACAGTAGAAAAAAAAATGTAGGGTAAGTTTGTGTAATGCTTCTTTTAAAAAAAAAAAAAAAAGAGAAATTGCTTCCTTGTAAAATTGATAGGGACATAACATAGTCATGAGTGTTGTTTGTTTGCTTCTTTTTCACTTGAATTGGAGTGTTTTCTGAACATTGTATTGCTTACCTTCTCAGGACTATTGATGATTGAACTCAGTAAATTATGGACTTCTTAAAAATATGTCATGCTCTTAGCTTTGGATAATGCAAATAACAAATCTAAGCAAGACAGTAAAATGTGTATGCCATCCAGCATTAGTTTTTTCATCATTTAGTGTGTGTTTTTAGCATTTCTTGTGGAGGCCATTATCTTTTTTTTCCCCTGTTACATACATTTGCTCCTCTGGAAAGCATATTTTTACCCTGATATTACAGAAGTGAAGATTCGAAGGGTTCAAAAAGACAGCTTTGATATTGTGATTTTAAATAATTAACAAAACGTGTGTTGTAGCATTTAAATACGAATACTAAATAAGATTATTTTTTTTTTAACAGTTTGACTCTAGCAGAGTATCATGAACAGGAAGAAATTTTCAAACTTCGATTAGGACATCTCAAGAAGGTATGTGTATGCCCTGTAGTTCTAACACTGTTGGATTGTGCCCCTAACAGTCACAACTAATATTGTCAGAATAAGGAGAGGGTTTGCTTACTATAGACATCGAGAGTAGAAGGGAGCAGTAAAGAATCATTGTAACAGTGATGTAACCACAACTACCAGTCTTGCTTTAGAGCTGAGAACATGGATTCAAATTTGATGTGACTTCTTACATTGGTATTGGACCTTTAAAAAGGTCCAGTATGGGACATTGAATGAACACTATGTTTGGGTAATCTGCCGTATCCACTTTAGTTGTATACTATTTATAGCAAGAGAGGAAAGAGTATTTCCTAGCTCTCTGGTCTCTTAAATTGTGTGCATTATTCCTGTTTTTGACTTTTGAAAAAATCTAGCAGTGCTTTTTTCTTGAAGCCAGCTAGGCCCTGTGAGAACACTGGTGCTGTTTTTGGACAGTATGCCTAGAGAACACTTGAACCTACAGTAGAAAATTTGAATAGAAACTTGCTGGCTCTGTGAGGTAGACTCTGTCCACTTCATTTGTGCTTCGTTGCAGTAGAAATAGCAACAGCTTCATTTAAAATTGTGTTACGAAATTCTGTAGATTGCATTATCTATTTTTTTTATATCTATTGGGAATTGCAAGTGATATCTGGAGGAAGTTGTTAGAAACTTGTTTAATACCCAGATTTGGTTTAGACCTTGAATATCATTGCTAAGGTTCTCTGTGCAAGAACAAACTTGACTAAATGTCACAGGGAAAAAAATACTATTTCTTGGCAAATCATGTTTGAATAAATACAAAAGTAATAATAAGTATACATTCTTGCATTTTAATTCCCATGTATGATGGAGATTTTGTTGGTAACTAAGAAAAATAATTTTGCTACTTTTTACATTACTGTGTTTCTTTTGTAGTGCATCACTGCTGATTACATTTATTATTCTTTCCTTCTGCATATGCTGTTTTGCTGTCTGTTCCTTTTCGCTGTCCAGATGCTTTCCTGGAGCTCTTTTTTTTTTCTTTAAATGCCCTGTACGTTCTGCCACCACCAGTTCTCTTCTTCCTTCTGCTCCCCAGGAAATTCTTTTCCAACTAGCTGCTTTAGTCCTGGAGAGAGGCTCTTGTTTTCTCACTTCCTTTTATACAGCAGTGACCTGAGGGAGCAAAGCTGGTTCACTCTTGCTTAAAGGTATTCACAATCTGAGTGTCCTAAATAACAGCTGGAAGCAATGCAACCAGCCAGTTCTCTTCGGACTAACACTGACCTGTGAACCACATTTTGAGAACAACTGAATTGCATAATATATGAATAAAAAAGTCCAAAAGAGGTATAACTGATGTGTTGGTTATTTTTGTCAGCCTTTAGGAAGAGCACAAACATGTATAAGTGTGTGGCCTTTTTGAGGAAGATACAAGGATTGGAATTCTTCTTAGAGGACCTGTGGGATATGAGGAACTGCATATAATTTCAGAGTATTTAATGGAGATCTACAAGTATTAATCTAAATATGAAAAAATTCCAAATTCTGTAAACAGGAAAAAAAAACAATGCAAAAGAACCTCTTAACCACTTAAAAACAAATTATGTATCATTTGATTTTATGATAGTTTGGTCTGGTTTCCTAAACTTATTTGATAGGTTTCTAGATTATATAAATATGGGTGTTGTTTCAGAATGGGGTTTTATGATGTACAGTGTTAAGAAACACTGACTTTAAAGCATTTTTTTCTCCCCCATGATGATATCAACCTCCACACCTTGTACCATGACTTGTTGCCTTTAGATTGTGCAGTTACAGTACAAATTGGATCAGAAAACTGATCTTTTATCAAAAAACAAATACACACATGTTGGCAAGGCTTGCTTTTTTTTTTTTTTTTTTTTTCCCCAAGAAAAGGTTGATCAGTTTTCAAGTCTGGTTCACCATGTAGCTGTACAAACAGTTTGTGCCAAAATAACAAGAAGATGTGGGGCACTGGTGGGGAGGAAAAAAATCCACACACAAAAAAAACAAACACAAAAAATCACGTATCAGATGCCAGGCTTTCTTTCTTCTTTTCAGCTAGAGTACTTTTGTAATTATTAGATTTTGTCTATGGACTAATTTTGGCTCCCATTCTTTCAAAGTTTCAAGTTTTAGAGGTGCTTACTCTGAAATACATGCAGCTCTTCTGACAGAGTCTTTCAATGAGCGTACCACATGGATAGATGTGCTGGTGTCCATAAATTAGGTTTTGTGCTTTCTTTCCCTTTTTTTGTTGAGATTCTGAACAGATAACTACTTAAATGTTTTCTTATATGCAGCATAGAGATGACATAGTTCTAAGTGACAAAATTAGTTAGAGAATATCCTCATAGCTAACATAGTATTTTTTTGAAATTGCATTTGAGGTTTTAGGTAATACGTATTCTATGTTTATAAGTTTAGTAAGATAGAAATGGATAAATCTTTTGAAATTAGCTTTGTTTTGGTGTTCTGTATCAGTACTTTAAGAGCACTTTTACTGTAACGATTTATTCTGTTATGTTTTTTGTTGTTTTTTGTTTACCCTCCAACCTCTAAATACTTCAGACATGTTTTCCTAATCTGCCAGTTTGTACAAAATCTGTAACTGTGCATATCTCCATTTTTTTCTTCATCATACATCTATTTTAGCCTGCTTCCCAGATAATTTCTCTCCTTGGCTGAAGTACAAAACCCAGCTGCCTCTCATTTTGAATAGCATCCCTACAGAGCAGAACAGCACTGTGAACATCCTATTCCCTGGGGATTCATGAACAGGAAGTTCCTTGAAAATATTTTTTGCCTTATCTCTCTGAGATTTTCAGGCTTTAGAAGAAAAGCAGTGCTTTCTTCTAGATCAGTATGGTTTTGTAATGTAATGTTCCTCCATCACCACTAGTATTGATGCAGAGGTAAAAATATCCTTTTCAAGTGAGGAGTAAATGAGCTTTTATACTTAATTCTTTTCATTTCCAGGAGGAAGCTGAAATACAAGCAGAACTTGAACGTTTGGAAAGAGTTAGGAATCTTCACATCAGAGAGCTGAAAAGAATTAATAATGAAGATAATTCACAGTAAGATTTACTGTCTTGATTTTTGCATGTCTACTTTAAAAATACGGCTCTAAAATCAAATTGTTTAGTAGGATATAAGCAGGTTCATTATTTGTTCTTCAGTTCATTGTTTGTTTGTGTGCATTTTAAAAAACAGCATATTTAAGCTTTACCAAACAAGCAGTGATTTTTTTAAAGCTTAATAGTTCACTGAATATGCAGGAAATAATACACATACACAGATTGTAATGCAGGAATGCTAAAATTTGCAATATCACCTCACTAGGAAAAAAAATCTTGGAACCACGAAGAAATCTTGGAACCATAAGCTGACAGTAATGCAAGAAAATGGTGGGGAGGTTTGGTGCGTGAAGAACTATTTGGTAAAGCAGTTAAGTCAGTTAGTTTTATTACACCATAATTTACATTACAGGTGCCTGATAGGAGAAAGACAAAGATAGAATCTTCTGTGTTATGTTAAATTTAGCTATACTTCAGCTCACGTGGCAGTATATCCTAATGTTAAATTGGCATTTAAGGTTTACTTTAACTTTGTAGATTCCAACTAATAAAGTTAGTGTGTTTTCCATGGTGAGGAATACAAGCTCTAACACATAGTTGCCCTTTTTCTTTTCTCTTGCCAGCAGTGGCATTTCTCTAGTGAACAGCAGCTGAAAGTTGATCCAAGTTAAATTTCCAGCTTCCATGGTTTCTTTCTCTGGATTAATTTTAACTCCAGCTCAGTCTTCTGGTCTAATTTTTCCTAAAACTAGCCCTAAACCCTTAAAGTTTGCCATGGAGTATAGTTAGCAACTGGCCTTAGATTCATGAGTATAAGCATCTCATCATTCTTCCGAAGATAGGTTGAGTATTCACTACCCTCCCCCAATCTCCTCTCCTTGATAGGCAGACAAATGTAAGAAGTAACATCTTACACAGCAAACATTAATTAGATGCATCTCTGAGCTTAGATGTTTTGATGTAGCTTCAGAATACTGTTTAATTTTTATTTTTTTTTTTAAGACTATTTCACATTTCAGAAATCACGAACAAACTTTCTAATTTTCTTGTTATTGCCAATTTTAGTAGTATTTTATCTTTGGTTCTAAAGTGATACAGTAGCACCGTATGAGGTCACCTATCACTCTGAGTGACAAAACTTGCAAATTTTTGTATTGTGTGTGTCATTTACTGTCTGTTTGCCTAAATATTTACCCAAGTTTTCCTTCCTACCCAAGCTTTTCTAGAAACCTGTTTTTCAAAAAGTGTAAACTGAAATCCAATTTCTTGTTGGAAGGACAATCAGTTCACCATCTTGGTTTAACAGGAGTTTGGCAGCTGATAAGAAGCATATTTCCATCTATTCCATCCATTTCCAAAGCCTGAAAGGGCTACAGTAGCTATCATGTTTCACTGAATCCTTTTTGCTCTTTTCCTTCACTGTCACTAACATAAGCAGTCAGACTCTGGCTACTGGTTTGATTGAAGGACGTGTTTTATCTTCTGCGTATGTCAGGAGAGAGTGTGGTGTTTATCCTGCAACATCATTTTGCATTTGGGAAGAGTTTTTCCTCCTTGCTTTTCATGAGAGTGTGAGCAGATACATAGTCATTTGACATGCTTTCCACGTTACTATTTGTTATTTTATAACTTCTTAGTCTTATATATAAGTCATTTTGTTGGAAGATGAATATGTACAACAGGTCTGGTCAAGTTTTGTGTGAAATTGGAAGTGTATCTTCCTCATTGGTTCCAGAAATCAGAAGCTGACTTCTTGCAAATTGGGATCAGTGAGCAGAGTACTGCTGTATCTCATTTCTTAAACCTTTTATGCAAAGGAAGGGTTTGGGATTTTGGCAGGATACCTCTGGAGGATGTATGGAGGAGAACCACAGCCCTCTAGTGATACAGATTGCAAAGCAGTATTCACCAACATTTAGAGTATTAGCATTGCATGGTTCCTGGGCATGTTTATTAACAGGGGTAAAGTGAACAGATTGGAGAGATGAAAAATGTGTTGAAATTCTATTCTTATTTCTGGTTATTCAGACAGTATAGAAGCAGAGCTCATGCTATGGAGCAGATGCAGGTCCTACTGATTCTACTGTTGATGATATTGATGATGATTACTGTTGTTGATAGTGGTTTTTTTTTCAAAACAAAGTGAATGTAACACAGAATAGTGTTTTCCCTATTGGCTCATTGTGAGCATAGTGTTTACAGAGAGTGAGTTAAGGGTGGTTTTTTTGTTATCCTCACAAAGAGAGAAAAATGGCAAACAGTTTGCCAGAATTAGGGGATTTGACAGTAATGTTGTGATAGGAGTTTTATGCTAAACAGTTGAAATTTACTGTTGTATAACTGCACCATAAAGTTGCACATGGTTAAATATTCTTCAGTATGTTATATATCACTGGTAGAAAGAAAAGTTCTGTTTAAGAAGGAATACCCATATATTTACATTTTAGGCTGTGTTTTTATACCTTAAACAGAAATGAATTAAATCTTTTTTTTTTTTTTTTTTTTTCCCCAAGGTTTAAAGATCACCCCACATTGAATGAACGGTATTTGTTACTCCATTTACTTGGCCGAGGTGGCTTCAGTGAAGTATACAAGGTAGAGTGTGTTGAGTTTACTAAATCTAGTGTTTGAAGCATATACTCTTGTCCATTTGATTTCTGGGACTGGAGTGAAAATAGGGATCTGAATAAGCAAGAGGATTTTAATGTGTATACTTGTTAAACAGTGATTGAGCAAAACCTTCTTGATTAATCTGTGGAAGAGAGGTAGCATTACATTAGGCATGTGAATTACATGCCAGTTTTGTTTCTTTCTGTTGGGTGTTATTTTTATCATCATCTTTGGCTATAACTTTCCTGTGTTTGTGGGTTTCTTTTTTAGGCTTTTGATCTTTATGAACAAAGATATGCTGCTGTGAAGATTCACCAGCTTAACAAAAGCTGGAGGGATGAAAAGAAAGAAAACTACCACAAGTAAGTATTAATGACTTACGCTTCATATGTTAAGTTGAATAGCATTTTATCAGTTGTGGAAGATTAATGTATCAATCTTCTTCTAGACATGCCTGCAGAGAGTATAGAATACACAAAGAACTGGATCACCCCCGGATAGTTAAATTATATGACTACTTCTCCTTGGATACAGATACGTAAGTACATGAGAATATATGTTTTCTAGAACGTGACAGGGGCTTTAGTGTTGTATGTTGGATAAGCAGAAATGAAGAATATTTGACTTTCAGCCAAAATACTTATAGTTTCATTAGGGATTTTTTTTATTTTTTTTATTTTTTTTATTTTTTTGAAAAAAAGAAGGGGAAAAAAACGGACAACGACAGCACAAAAACCCCAACCACTAGTTGCAGAAGTTTGTTGCAGATAGGTATATATAGGAGATCTTCTGTAAAGTGATGAAAACACTGTTTTGTAACACCTGTGTGCATAAGCTTTCTTTCTTGGTGAGTTGTTTGTGTTCTGATTGATATCAGGTTTCATAGTCTAATCATTATGCTACATGTTTTACTAACAATTTCGTTCATGTAATTTAGTATTCAGTAAGCTGTTGTTAAAGTTACTGGTATTAAACTATTTTGTCATAACTTTGATCTTGCAGTTGAATATGCCGTTTAATTTTGTCTGTAAATTCTGCCGTAGGTTTTGCACGGTGTTAGAATACTGTGAAGGCAATGACTTGGATTTCTATCTCAAGCAACATAAATTGATGTCAGAGAAGGAAGCTAGGTCCATTGTAATGCAAATAGTAAATGCACTACGGTATCTCAATGAGATCAAGCCCCCTATTATACACTATGATCTTAAACCAGGTAAATGAAAAATGGCAAAATTGAAAACGTCATCACATTTATCAGTTTTTTTATAATTCATGCCTCAAAATACCAAAATTATCTTTGACTTGTCAAGTTTATTTTAATCTGAGAGGTAGATACTTTTCTTTCCAGTTTAACGTTAAAATAATCTGTCTTTTCTTTATAAAAATACTTCTTACAACTTTTTTCCTTTGTGCTGTTTTGATTTGTATTTGTATGAAAGTGTCATATAGCCTGTAGATACATTAATATTTAGTAGTATAAGTATTTAATATCAGTATTTGACTCGATCGTATCTGATCATTATAAAATGTTGATTTGTAAATAATTTTTCCCTTTCATATTTCTTTCTTTTTTTTTTTTTAACTACCTCTTTATCTGAAGTAGTTTAGTTTTTTTCAAGAAGCCAGTGTAAACACTGTTGTCACTTGGATCTCTTCTCTAAATTCTGGTCAAGTTTTCTAGTAGTAATAATGAATATTGCCTTAAATGACGTATTCCATCTTTTATGTTTTTTGTGTATTTTAATCTGCTAAACTTCCAAGTCTAGGGTTTGTTGTGTAGCTATTAATGCCAGGCTGTTTGCTTGCTGAATTCTTCATATAGATTTCTATTAAGGAATAACAGATTTCGTATTATGAAGTTGTACAGGATGTAATCTTAGTCTCATTAGTTTTTGTTCTATTTTTAGAGGAAACTCATCAAATGATTTTTTAAAATCAAATTATTGCACAACTTTAACATGTGGAGCTAGATTTTTTTGAACTGCAGCATGTCTTGGCACTATTTTCTGGCATGTGCAAACCCTGAAATGTGTAGTTTAGAACGTTTTTTGGACAGAAAAATATTAAACTTCATTGTGACTACTATACTGTTTTATATTGCTGTCCAGTCAGCTCCAAGTTGGGCAAGCCATCTAAGATGATAGTAGTGATAACCTAGAGAGTTCCTGAGATAGCACTAAAATGTCATAGTCTAGTTGCTCTAGACTTGAGATCATAAAGATGATATAAAGATATCATTCACCCTCATTAAGTTGAATGTTCCTGAAAATTGTGGCTGGTTTTGAAAACGAAGCATTCTGGTGGTGTTTTTTGAAGTTAAAAATGTATTTTTTCCCCTCTGTTTAGGTAATATTCTTCTTGTAGATGGAACAGCATGTGGAGAAATAAAAATTACTGATTTTGGATTGTCCAAAATAATGGATGATGATAGCTATGGTGTGGATGGAATGGATTTAACTTCACAAGGAGCAGGAACTTACTGGTAATGCCTGATTTGATTTTATTGTTTAGGTCATTTTTGAGGCTTCTGAAATGCTTTCATAAAGCTAATTCCTAGTGATAGCTAGGATTAAAAATACTAATGTGAATAACAAACAAAGATTTTTGTGCAGTACTGTGGATCTTGATATTCACAAAAATTCCAGAATAGTGCCATAACTGAAGTAAGTTAGGAATCTAGATGTAGATATACATACATTTAAAATGTGGAGCAAATCTCGGTGATTTATAAACATTGTTTCCCAGAAGAAGCAGGTGTTTAATCTTTGGCTGCAGGTGGTTAAAGATGTTTGACAGAGCTGTGATGATTAAGAGTGGGCGCTTAGTCCTTGGAAATCTTAGAGCAGGGATTGCCAGAAGGTAATGTCCTTAGGATAAAAGAGTACTTATTCTTCCATCCTAAAGGTTAATGACAGCTGAGCAGCTGTATCTTGTTTTCTGTGTGTATCCACATACTTGTCCAAAAACCTGAAATTGTAGATCTGTCTACAGAGCAAGAATGACAAAAAAAAAACCATTTTATTGCTAACAGAAAAGCTGTTTGTAGAATTTACTCTGTAAAGATGCAAGCTGACACAATAGATCTTTGAGCCTGTGTGCACAGTACCTGTGTCAGGGTGAGTGGAATAGAAAGCCTATATTGGCTAGATGATTATTTGTGAATTCATCTGTTTGTTTTTCTCCTCATTCTGTCTGTGGCAAGATAGGTTTCAGATTTCGGTTCTTAACTCTAAACAGAGAAGCCAGTGTCCTTCCTATTTCTTCTTAAACTTTTCCTCTATTTGAAAGTTGCATTTGACAGATTGTCTTTTCCTTGCAAATTTTTAGGATGCGCATCTCGTGAAAAGACAGTCATCAAAGTTGAAGCATTTTAGAAATGTTAGACTGTTGCTGCTTTCCTTAATGCTCCAATTTAAATATGAGTTTAAATATTTAATTGTAGGAACACTATTCAAAAAGTTTGGGTCTTTAGCTTTCATCTAAAGCACCACATGCACTAGTGGTGTTGTGAACTGGGAGATCTAAAATTGTCTGTGACCTTTACACAATGATGATAAATCTCTGTGTTTCTAACTTTTGCTTCCTCTGAGGGAAAGTTTTGAGTTAGTTTGAGATGGGGATAAGTCTGTGTAAGGCAAATAGCATGAATAGTAGTGGGAGGGATTTCTTCAGTCCCCGGGTGGAGTTACCTGTCCTTCCAAGCATTCTGGTCATGTAATCTGTTCTGTAGACTTAGAACCATCTGTATTAAATTCAGTGTTTTGTCCCCAGTCATCTCTGATTTGAAGTTTGTTCCATAACCTCAGTTCTGTGGTCATTAGAAACTTAATCTTCTAATTTATAGAACTGTTTGCATGTAGCCACTTTGTACTTGTTTGTTCCTGCACCAACACTGGCCTCCTTTGAATTAGGTTGTTTCCCTTCCTTATACTTGCTCCCTTGTGTTTTTAAAGTGTTTGGCTTCTCTCTGAATTGTGGCTTTCAGTTCTTCATGCCATCTTGGTAGTTTTTTTTGTGTGATTGCATTAGTCTGAGTACATCTTTCTTGCATGTTGTAATCAGGATTGTGCACAAGTATTCTAGAAGAATTTTTTTTTGTGTTGTATGAAATTCATAGTTGTATTGCATTCTTACTTCATTTTTTTTGCTTATTTCCATTTTCACAGGCATTTCTGTGAATTATTTTTAGAGCCTTACATGCTGTTGATGAAAGAATGTCTGATATGTCATGGCTCTGAAGGATTTTTTACCCTCATTTTTAGATTTTTATTGCAGTCAATAATAATTAACTGCCTTCATAGTGATATTTTTGGTTTTTGGTTTTATTTTTTTCGAAGGAGATTGCACTGCATAAATTCCTCTGTAATTCAGGGATGCCATAAGAACTTAATCAGCTTTCAGTTTTTCAAGTATGGCTTCCATGGAAATTATAGGCATAGAAATATGATCACATTTACCTACCTTATAATTCTCTTATTAATGTCAGCATTCTTACTGAAAACTTTAAAATCATATGTATGTTACATTTGATTCCTATTGAGACCTAGCTTTAAATGTCCTGTATGGTTTTCATCTTTCCATGTTCAAACAGAGACGGTGTATATTTAGAGAAGGTGTATATTTACCTTAATAGGATCCCAGTGCTTGAATAATTAATGATTATTAGTGGTTTAAGTAAAGAATAGGTTCCTTATTTGACTGCCTGACTGTACAAAAAATTGTATTGTCAGTTTTGATCAGTGTTGTAAGTGTTGGAATAAGTATCGTAAGATAACTGCACAGTTATTCAAATATCAACTTGCGCAGTTTTTTTTGTATACCATTTCTGATCTTTGAACAAGTTCTAGTGATTCATACATCTGCTTGCTGACACTGAGGCACACGTTTTCTTTTTCAGGTACTTGCCTCCAGAGTGTTTTGTAGTTGGCAAAGAGCCACCAAAGATTTCTAATAAGGTTGATGTATGGTCAGTTGGAGTAATCTTTTTCCAGTGTCTTTATGGTCGAAAGGTAAGGAAAATTTTGTTTACCTATCTTAAATTGTTAGTATAAGTGCTTGCCTGTTTTCAGTAGAATGTGAACAATAGTTGTAAATATGTGAATCCATATGGAAAAGACTTGTGTTAGCTTTTGCTAGTGTGCACTGATACTGTGAGAAAAGGCTTTGACTGAAACGTTTTTTTAATTGAAAAGTGGTTAGAAACATATATTAACACTGTAATCAATTTACTTTTGGATAAGTATTTATGAAATCAAAATGGTTGCATAACTGTCATGAAGAAAATCCCTTGCTTATTTTTCAGCCATTTGGCCACAATCAATCTCAGCAAGATATCTTACAAGAAAATACAATATTAAAAGCCACAGAAGTCCAGTTCCCTGTTAAGCCTGTTGTTAGCAATGAAGCCAAGGTAATGTTTTATATGAGCTCAGAGCAGTGGTTAAAACCTGTCTCATTTATTTTTAAGGATTGTGATGTTTTTTGGGGTTTTGATAATTTTATTTTGAAACTGTATCAAACACAGTTGCACAGACCAATGATTAAGAGAACAGATTCAACTGATTTTCTGGTGTTTTTTTTTGTTTGTTTGTTTTATTGCTGATGTGAGCATCTATGACAAATCCAATTTTGTGAATTTGGAAGAAAATATTCCCAGTTACTTGTTTGTAAAAGTAAAAGGCTGCTAAAAGTTTAAAGATTTTAAGACATTTGAACTTCTGATAAAAATGAAAGGCAACACAGTTTTAGAGGATGTAGCTTCCCAAGAAAACAGTTATGTCAGGGACATAAACAGTAGCGATGTGTTTGTGTTGGCTGTATTTTCTGGAACTAGTTTTAATGAATGAGTTGCAGTTAGAATTATGACTATTTGGTTGAATATTACAGTTTGTCCTGTTAGTTTGGAGGAGGTGGTGATGGTTGTTTTTTGTTGGTTTGTTGTTGTTGTTGATTGATTTCATTTTGGGGAGATTTGTCTCAGTTCAGAAAAATCATCTCCTTTGAGCGCATTTGACAAATATGCATCATAGAACTCATAGCTGGTAATGTTATGTGCTAGCAGTTTATATTTCTGTCTTTTAACTGCATTTCCTAGTGATAAGTAGTGTTTTTCTGAAGGGCATTGGAAGAGAGCGAATAATTCACTGTCGTTCTGATGCAGTTAGTTACTTACTTTATATTCTCTGTTCCTTGTTCTGTTTGAAAAAGCAGGAGTGGAGAATAATGAAAGATTATTAACAATGTCACGATAGCTGTAAAAGAGAGGGAGAAATTCTTCTGGTGGAAGCACTATAAAACAATTTCAGACTAACTTGTGAATTTGGATAGTTTATGATGACTGCGTAAATTTATAGGCCTAGTAGTTGGAAAAGAACAGCAATAAGCAATAAATAAAATCAAAACGAAGTTTTGATTTGGAAAACATAGGGAAATAAATACAAAATCTGAAATGACACTGCTAGTTTCCAGACTGCAATTATCCTTTGCTCCTTGCTACTTTTTCCTAATTTGTGCTGTGTCCTGTGCATTGTAGTACTATTTGCACTGCCACAGAACCACAAAGTATTCTACAAACATTTTAGAAACAATCTGTTACTCTGAGAACCTTGTAAACTACACTTACCAGCTCATTTCTTAGGGATTCATTATAAAGAATTCAATTAAATCCACAAATGTCCAAGAACATGTGAATTCATGTTAAGATGTGCATGTTTTTATTTTGTGACTAGTTCCTGCAAGATATGTGTATGTTAGAAGGGAATTTTAACAGGGTTCTTCAGGATTTACATCACAGATTAAAAACTGGAGATTAAAGGGAAGTTTAATTGGAGCAAAGGACAAACAATTGAAGGGATTTATCAAGAGAAGATATGTAATTTTTTAAAAATTCTAGATTAAGTAATGATGTGCTAATGAGTTCTGTAGCAGTAATAAGGATTTTCTGTCATTAAGTGTTGAAGCCGAAGTTCCCAGGAGACTGTGTTCTGTGTATATTAGACATGAGGCTTAACAGAAACTTGCATCATGCAATAATTGACAAATATCATGTGGACCTTGATGAATTCCCCTATATTCAGCACTAGTGAGGCCGCACCTCGAGTACTGTGTCCAGTTTTGGGCCCCTTACTGCAAGAAAGATATTGAGGCCCTGGAACGTGTTCAAAGGAGGGCAACAAAGCTGGTGGGGGGTCTGGAACACAGGCCATATGAGGAGAGGCTGAAGGAGCTGGGAATGTTCAGCCTGGAGAAGAGGAGGCTCAGGGGAGACCTCATTGCTCTCTATAACTTCCTGCAGGGAGGTTGTAGTGAGCTGGGGGTCGGCCTCTTCTCTCGTGTCATCAGTGATAGGACCAGGGGGAATGGCTTCAAGCTACGGCAGGGGAGATTCAGGCTGGACATGAGGAAGTATTACTTTTCAGAAAGGGTGGTCAGGCACTGGAGTGGACTGTCCAGGGAGGTGGTGGAGTCACCGACCCTGGGGGTGTTCAAGGAAAGGCTGGATGTTGTGTTGAGGGACATGATTTAGTGGGAGCTATTGGGAATAGGTGAACGGTTGGACTGGGTGATCTTTTAGGTCTTTTCCAACCTTGGTGATTCTGTGATTCTGTAAAGGGCAGTACAGTGTCTCAAAAGCAGCTCTGGAGATAAACAGAGATTTTTTTCCTGGTTTTTAAGATATTTTAAATCATTTGGAATTGACTCCTTTCTGAGAGAGAAATTCCAGCTAGGTGGTGATTTCTTAAATCATCTGTTTGTTAGTGCCTGTTGAAAGTGGCAACTGTCCCTACATCTTCTGCTATTCATGTGGTGCACTGCTGGATGATTTTAGAAGCTCCGTGGAGCTCCTTTCTACTTTCTCAGACATCTGCTTTTCGCTTTTACTATGCTGCTAGGGGATAGCACAAGCAGAATTGTCCCTGTGTGAAATGCTAATGTTTTGCTTGTAAATATAGTTCATACATCTTTTTGTCTGACGCATGTGTTTGAAGCATGATTACCTTAAGCCAATTAGGCTTGCTGATTTTTTTTCTGCTACAATGTTCTCTGTTTTTCATTGGAAACTGTAGTAGAATGTTAGGCTGTCTTTGAATGGAGTTGTGTAAGAACAAGAGTCTGTTTAGAAGCTGGTTTGTCTGGGAGGATGTGCTTATTGATTGTAAGCAGATGGAATTACTTGGGATGGTATTGTAACTTTTTGCATTCCTCTTCTAGGCCTTTATCAGACGCTGCTTAGCATACCGAAAAGAGGATAGATTTGATGTCCATCAACTGGCTAATGATCCTTACCTTCTCCCCCATATGAGGAGGTCAAATTCTTCAGGAAACTTACATATGACTGGGCTAGCAGCATCCCCTACACCACCTACTTCAAGCATTATTTCATACTGAAATTTCTCCAACTGAGGAATGGCATGATATCTTGGTGTAGTTTCCAAATGCATACTTGAGCTTGAGAACATATGGGTGTTTTTCTGCAGGACAAGTTTGATAACTGTGTTTTCAGGCTGAAGTCCTCCTACATAGTGTTGTTTGTATGATTGGAATGGGTCATGGACTGTGAATAAATATACCCTTCAGAGAACAGCCTTTAAATGTTGAAGGATGACATTGCCTGTTGCACACTAACAGGTATACTGTGTTTGAGACTGAAGAAAAGGTTTTTAGTTTTTTTCTGGGGAACATTGTAAATAATCTTTTTAATACTTAAAGTACATTTGGTTGATACTGGAAAGTTCTAACATGAAGGGTAGTTTTTCATTATTTAAAATTTTTTTAAAAAGTAGTCAGCAAATTTGAGAACAAGAAAAATCCCATGTCTGGTTAATAAACTAAATTGCCATGTTTCCAAGACATTGATCCTCTGAAACCAAAGTAAGAAATGCAAGACAGTCAAAGCTGTGTTCTACATCAGATTCCACAATGAAATTACAGTATTTTATTTGGCGCTCGGGCTTGTACCTCCAAACATGTGTTCTTTCACAGAATTTAGGTTGATAGGGAACTCCTGGTACTTACTTCTCGAATAGGTTGCTAATTTTGAAATAAGCTTAGTTTTCTAAATATACTGTACTTGCTGTGGTATTGAAACTTGTGAAAATTTCCAGGCCTCTTGATAAAAGCAGACAACAGTATGAAACCAAATGCAAACAGGTCATGTATAATATTCTATGCAGGAATAATGATAAATTCCCTTCTAGCTCTATTGTAAATTGTTGTACAGATGTCACATTTTCATTAAATTCAGCAACTTATTCCTGTACAAATGTTTAAAGTATGGCTTTTTCTAATTGGATATTGTATTTTTTTTAAGTCTCCCTCAAGGCGCTTTTAATTGCTGCTAAACAACATTGCTTTTACTTCAGCAGAAGAATCAGATGACCTCCTTAAGGTGCAAGTAAACTGTACGTTATAGAGAGACTGAGTAGGAAACTCATTAACAATCAAGGCATGTAAAACCGAGCTGTGTTGGCCGTATGCAGTACAGTTCTGTAAGTCAATTAATTGCACTCTCAACCTGTAGAGTGCATCAGTACTAGATGTAGAAGTTGCTCATGGCTATTCTCTATTTCTGGAAGTTCCTATCAACAAGGAAATGTTTCTTGTGGCTTGTACAGGTATTTTAAAATGTGAAACATTTTCTAATTGCCTTGTATGGTAGAAACTTATTTTTCAAAACAGCGTATCTCTCTGCAGTTTCACTATTCTTTTTATTGTCCCATTCTGGATGCTGAATACTATCTGTAATTTTGTCCATGTTTCAGAAAAAGGAGGCTGTTATTACCACAGGTTTTCATTTAGTATTGTACAGTTAAACTGTTGCTCTTGTTTCTGATGTTGCAAGCCATTTTGATTTCATTGTATATAAAGAAACATTAACTGTCTCTTTAAGATGCTGCTGAAATTGTAGAGAATGTAGCCAAAACAGTAATAAACAATGACAGTTGAAATTTCAAGGTTTTCGTCCTGTGTTTTTGCATTTTAACAAAGGACAAATCTGTTTTCCTTATTGCTGAGCTACATTCACTTATTAAGCAAGTTCACTTTGATGGCGAACAGAATAGAGTAATTTATTCAAGCAGTGTTAGGGCTGAAAGGGGAGACTTCCATAAAATTTGAAGCATCTGTCATAACTAAATAACCGTTATTTCAATGAGTAGGCCTCACAGAAACAGTTCCAATTATTTCAGTAAGTTTCTCTACAATTTGTTAGCCATAAAAATAGACTGATATTTTCTGCCTTTATGTTATGCCAGAGTACTGGGATTGCATCCTTTTCACCATCTGCCAGTGTGAAACTGAGGTGGTGGGGTTCAAGGATTTTGCCATGGCTGCACGCTCACATTAAATTTCATTATATCGTGTTCTGTGTCTTGGAAGTTACAGACTGTTTTGTCTAAGGAAAAGAGATAAGATTGTGTTAACAATTTTCATGTATCTGGAATGTGTTGTGGTAACCTCTAGTACTTTGAAGCTTAGCAATACGCTAGAGAACTGTTGAAGTAACCGAAAGCTGTAGAGCTACCTAAAGAAAAGGGGGGTTATGCATCGTACCAATTATGTGCACACTTGTTTTTCTTCTTGTTAGAATCTGGGAATATGGGTGGCTGTGGCTGAATACATGACAATTACTCCACCTTGACAGATGCTTACTTCTGAAATCTAAACACTTGTTTTTAATGCATTTTCATATAGATGCACATGAAGAATCACTGTGTCATCTTTCAAATCGAAGTTGCAAGATCTCAACGCGAGCATAACCTGTGTACTGGAGGTAAGCATCTTACGGTGCTGTCAGTAAAAATTTTGTATCCCCATGTGGATTTATTCTGTCTTCACAGCACGTCCAAGTTGGTGTCTGATGGCTGATGTTCAGCAATTTGTGCTTGGTATAGAAGTACCCTTGAGACTGAATCCAGAAGCCTGAATTACTGCGACTTGTCGAGAAATGCTGATCACTTCTAGGTAATTCATACATCCTTTGCTTCGACTGTATTTCATGCACATTTTACTGGATTCATCACACACCATCCATTGCTTTATTTCTCAAGTTTTTCTGCTGATTTAGTAGCGGATAGACTAAAGAAATGATGTTAAACTTCATCAATTCTTAATGAAACTTGTAAGTAAAAGTCTTACTTTACACATGTAAATATTTTTAAATTTCTGTGTGTACTGAAAGACGCTAGAATTCTACATTACTGTGTGATATAAACACCTATGTGTGAGTTATAGAAGCAATTGCAAGATGAATTCTTCATTTTTACTGTGATTACAGCGTCATTGCAGCCACAATTAACAGTGGTTGGCTTGTTTCTTTAAAACAGCTGTGTTTTCGCACTGTTTTATTTGTTTGTACTGAAGTTAAATCTGTGGAGCGTTTTTCACCCTTAACTTGGTTTGTGCTGGTTGATAGATGGGGATTTCGGAGAGACCAGTTATCACTAATTTTCTGAAGGGTGCTTTGAACGCTGGCAAGAAGTTGGGAAGAGCATTGTGTTGCTGGCCAGCTGCCCAAGTGCTGTTGACCGCACACACCACAGCTATGAGCAAACTGCTGCATAATTAGAGAAGCTTTCAAAAGCCCACAAAGCCACCAGCCCTCTTGGTATGCGAGTCACGGGTATGCGAGGCACAGCACCGCTGTCTGCACCCCTCAGCTTGCTGGGGTGCTGGGTGTCACTGCGACTCTTCACAGGAGCTGGGGACCTAGCTGGGTGACTGGATAGGGTGTGTGAAAACTGTGGAAGGGAAAATATGCCTTAAGTCTTAAGGCGTCCAGAAATTCCTGCTTCTGCTTCCCTGTCTTTCTGATCATGGAGAAACACAGACACAAGGCAGGTTTGTAACCAGCCCACAATGGTGGCTTCTAATCTCGTTTCTCCCTTCCACCAAAAAACACAAGCTGGGAAGTATGGTATGAATCACTGTTGTTCTGTGAGCTATTAGCTCCCTGGGCAGGGTGGTGAGGTCAGACCTGTGTGCACCCTCAGGCTGTGGGGCCACCAGGAAAGCAGAAGCTCTGGGATGGTGTCTCTGGGACATTTCAGAGGTGCTCTGGAACTTGCTGTGCTACTCCAAAAGAAGGAGATTTCAGTAGGAAGGTTGTGGGGAGGCCTGAGTGGGTGTCAGGGCAAAGGCAGACTTTGAGGGCAATGGCAAGCGAGCCTCCAGATTCCAGTGCCTGAAACACTTCAAGTGGAATGGCTGGTTTCACAAACCAGTCGTGTCTTGTGGCACTGTGCTGCAGTCCTGCTCTCTGTGTGCCTGCAAGACCAGCGTGTCTGCTGGTTGTAAATAGCCCTCCTGAGGACTTGAGTTGGCAGTGCAGTATTGGTAGGGAAGGCAGGACTGCAAACAGCCCACAGGCATTGCCTACTGACCAGCCCAGCTGTATCACCTCCCTGTGACCACAGTCTGGTGGAGGGGGCCCAACTCAGCAGCCGGGCTGGGTGCACCAGAAGTCTTTTTGTATTTGGTCTGTTACTTCCTGTCTTGTGTGCTGTGCTGTGAGGATCAGTTCCCTGCCATCCCACTGGTGTGTATGCATCTGAGCAGGTTTCTCTCTCTTGGTTTCCTTTCATCCTGGTTTGTATGTGAGGCTGCAAATTCAGTATTAGTTTGTTACTAAATTTGTCTCAGCATAAGCCACCCAGTGATGTGAGCTGCCATTGGAAGCTGCATATGCCTCGTTTGCTGCTATTCTACTGGAGTGAATGTTTTGGTAATACAAACAGAAAGAGAAGTGACTTTTGGTTGGTGCTGGGCAATGAGTGCACAGACAGGGCAAGGCCGGGCTCCTTGGTGGGGCAGGTCTGCCACCATGATGGTGCAGGTGGGGGAGGTGGGGGGTGACTGCAGGCCAGGCCACACGCCACAGGTTGGGCATGCTTAGCTCACAGGGTTCGAAGAAGTAAAATGTCCTCCCAGGGCTGCCACACCTCTGCCTCATCTGCCCTCAGGCTGAGAGTGACAGAGGCACGGGGCCTGCCAAGTAGTTGCGCATGTGTGACTGGCTTAGTGGGAAAGTGTGGCATCTTCTGTTCTCCTGGGTTAGGTTGTGCCCCTAAGCAGCTACATGATGAGTTACTGGGCAGCTTTGAATATTTGCATAATGGAAAACTTTCTCACTGACAAAAATAACCTAACTCACGTAGAAATGGTTCTTTTCAGGCTTACAGCTATGGCTCAGCAGCAGCTGGCAGAGTTCTCTCCAACGATTTCAGCACTGGAATACCTTCCCTGTGTGCCTTTCTATTGAAAAGCCAGGTAAGTTACACGTTAATTGGCAAACTACACCTGAGTGCTTGTTTGTAATGAATTTAGAGCATATTATTCCATTTCTTCAATAGCGATTCACACTCATTGATGTGATATCATTAAATTCTCATGTTGCTTGTAGGGTTACATGAGGCTATACCAAATGCTGAGGCTGATTTCATAGATTGCCTTCTTTGAGCTGTTACAAGTTGGGACAGTTTTATTACTGAGCCTTAAGACAGTTTTATTACTCAGCCTTTATGACTGAGCCTAAAGACATTCTAATCTAACAAATTAGCATATCATGAAGGTTATTGTCACATCATGCAATTAGCAGAACCCAACTACAGAGAACAGAGGAGTTATTCCTCTTTCATCCTTTATTTTCTGTCCCAATTCTTGTACTTTTAGTGAAATTCATCCTTTTTACTTTATTTTAATGTTTTCACTTACAGGCAAAATAAATATACGTATATATGATTAGCAAGTTAAACAAAACCTGTTCTTAACAGTGAAAAGTATGATGAAAGTTGTTTTCTTCTTAGCTCGGAGGCCACTCTGAGCACCAGGACCTCCTTCCATCTGCCAGGCAGAGGATCTACGTGTCATCAGCACCACTGTTATTAGACACTGGCACGCTGTATCAGTACTAGAATTTGACTAGACATGGCTATCTATTAATTCAACAGATACTAAGAGTGTGCTGTTTCTCTTTACAGCTTGTGTGAAGCAGGGAGGAATGTCTGGAGCAGAAGGTGGAGAAGAGTGTACTGGTTTATGTAATCCCTGTGACTGGAGCAGCAGTTTGTAAGTAAAGATTGGGACTTCGGGATGGATGTGTGGCTGCTGTGGGGGCTTTGCAGCAGCATTTAAAAGCAGTTTATACTTAGCTGCAACTGTTCTGAACTTTATATCTCCTCAGTTTTGATGTTAAATGATAGCCTATTATTTAAAAAAAAAAAAGGGGGGGGGGGGGGACGACTTGGGAATTCAGGTGTTCGGTTACCATAATGATGACTATAAAATTCATTGATGAATGCCAAATAGTTTCAAGCAAGATTCAGAGAATACATTTGCAATTGAAAATGGCTGGAGACGTACCTCAGCTCTTCTCTTGGTTCTCATCGCCAACTACCATCTCTGTCCTTCAAAACGATGCAGTCACAACTCAGAGGCCTTTGGAAGTATCACTTTTATCACCTTCGTGTCACATGTCCACATGTGATGGTCACTGCTTATGGTTTCCCAATGGTATTTGTAGAATATTGTGGATGTAAAGATTTACTAGCAACAGGAGATGGTGGTTGTAAGTTAATTTCTAGTAAGGTGAGGGACACAGTGATAGTTTGTACCTTATATGATATGCTGTTAATAGCATGTTGATTGTGTTTTAGGGCAATGAAATATCCTTTCACCTTTACGAAATGGGTTGAATTTTTGACCCAAGACAAATGCTTAATGATGTGAAAATTATCTGAGTGCTGCACGAAGGTCAGTTCCATGAGGTTCTGATGGCACAGCAGAGGCATCCATGTCTTCAGAATTAAAAGAGTACCATTTGACACTCATTTGTGCACCCGTAGGGAAACCACTGTTGTACAGCTACTGATCCAAGTGGCAAAGGGTGTGGGGGCCGCGACGCCCATGGTCTTTTTTGTGCTCTGTGGTAAGGTTACCTCAGCTGGAGCTGTATGGGTGTGTGTGCTGGTGGGCACGAGAAGCTGGGCGCTCTTCTGGCGCCAGGGCAGGCATTGCCCACATGGCGGCTGTAGGCAGCAGTCTCCAGTGTCTGTGCTGCACAGACGTCTTGGCAGTGAGTTTCTCCTGTGGTCGCTTGCTTCCCTCTGCAGTTGTGCAAATAACTTCCTCCTCCTGTTGCCATCCCCCAGCACTGTATCCAGTTGAAGTAGCGGGGGAAATTCAGACACAATGCAATGAAGCCACTGGAATTTCTTCGTTATAAACCCTGGGGGCATGTTCTCATTAGAACCACAAGTTGTACCCAGTGTTAGGCTCTTTCATGTTTGCATGGTTTCCTACTGAACTGCAGAGATTAGAGCCTGCTGTTAGCGCTGTCTGTCGGTCCCTGCTTGGTTTGACAGTGAGGAAACTCTTCAGCTGGAGCTGGGAACGAAGTGGCTTCTTCCCCACAGCAGCTGTGAGTGCTGCCTGAGTGAACAGCAGCTTTACACACTGACCCAAACTGGTGGTGCTGTGGGGAACGTGGGGAGTAGGAACAGTGCAGTGCTATGGCCCAGCAACAGCAAGGAGTGGTGTGCAGCAGCTGTAGGGGATGCAGGTGACTCACATGGCCGCCTTGTCAGGGTTCTGTGCAGCCCACAAGTACCTGACCACACATATGCACATGGGAGCCATCGCACAGCCCTTGCTGGTCTGTGCTGTCTGCTGAGGGATTGCAGAAGTCCAGAACTTATGGGAAGCCACCACAGTGATATAAACACTACCAGCATTTACACACCATTTCTGCACCTTTGTCTCTAGAGAATAAGAGCTGCAAAAACCCTCTCTCTATTTAAGTGTTTCCTAACTGCCCTAGTGCAGGAAGAAGCTGGTGTTCTGATTATCCCATATCTCATGGGCACAGAAGTGACGACTACTGTAGGTCCTGCATGAATTCAAGAATCCAATCATGTACCTGCATTCACTCTCCTTGCACATGCCAGGCTGGGTACACACTGAGTTTTGAGGGTTCTCACTCAATCAGTGGTTAGATGGGGTTAGACTAATGGTATTTATAAGTCGGAATGAAGCCACTGATATGGAATTAGCAAAGACTGATGCCACACTAGGCAGTGTGTTTGCACTCTCTGTGCTTTTAAAAATGCCAGTGATGTTTTGGAAATCTCTGTTTTTAGATGGGGCTGCTTGAAGCTGTGAATTTCTGACCAGATGTGGAAGATTGCTTCTCTCTCTCTGCTATCCTGCCCAGTTCTCTCCTTTCAATACTGGCTGTGCAGAAATGCTTTCTTCAGCTGGAACTGGAGGAGTTTCCTGTTTCTGTTTTGTACAGGTACGGTGTGTGTGGTCTAAGGGCTGCCTCAGGGTGAGAGGAGAGCTGACGTGGGGGGCATTTTCTGCAGAAAATGGAAATGGCTCTGCTGTCTTTTTCAGCTGTACCCATGTGGAAGACCCAAATGCAGGGGATGTATCAAGCACTGTGCAGAAATGTACCAGCAACTGAACTGAGGCAAATAGGTATGTTTCTTGCCATGTCTGTAATGATGAACTGGAGAATAAGTTGAAGTTAATCCCAAAAAGGGATGGATTGGGTCAAGTGCTCAACTAAGAGCAGGTAGAAATGACCTAAAGTCTTATAAGCTAAGGCCAAATATTATTGTCCCTCAGTACTTTGCGTTTAGACATCTAGATAGGTGGATATACACACATAAATGCCTGCACACATGCATAGTGAAAATGTCCTGCCTCTGCCTTGTTCAGAGCACCAGGTCCTGAGGCAGGACCCTGCCACAGAGCTACCACAGTGGGTTGAGAAGTCAGCCAAGTAATCTGGATGCTCACTGCTGTGCAAATACCAGAGATAAGGCACTGCTAAACAACGTTTCCTGTTTCTAAGAAAGTGGTGGAGGGTCAACATCTTTTTTATTTGTGACTCCAGCAGATAGGTCCTTAAAGTGTTGATCTTACAGGTGAGAGAAATTTAGATATGGAAGGGATTACAACAGTAGAATACTGTTGTGAATACTGTGAATACTTGCTCCTGTGAATACTTGCGATCTATGTTTAGAATTCAAATGCAAGCATAATTAAACAGTGCTAATGAGACAGAAGGACTTATCTTCATTTAGTGTATAATTGGTGTCACTGATTTCCTCATTCATTTTTTCCTAGTTTTAAAGCCATCTTCTTCCAGCAAGATCTGGTGGTAAAAGTTATCCCCAGCGAGGAAGTACCTGGCCCGGAGTGTAAATCCTTTTCAGGGGTGCAGAGTCAGCATCAGTAACTGAAAGCAAAGTTACAGCCAACAGCCATGCCAGGTGCTTCTTCTGCAGTGTAACCTTAAAAAATGCCATTTCGTATGGCATTACAAAGACCATACTGGAAAGGAAAAGGTAACATCTTACTTCTGCTGAGGCAAAGAAAGCCTGGGAAGAGTACATACCTACCACTATCAGCTGACGTTTAAATCTCTCAATATCCTCCTGCTCATCCATAAATTTGAAGCTTCCGCAGCAGCTTAAAAAGGGTAGGTGTGACACTGGGGCATGGTGGTGCCAGGTCGATGATTGGACTAGATGATCTTGGTGGTATTTTCCAGTCTTAACGATTTTATGAACTCCAGGTGTCACTTTATTTTTCACTGAAGACCCTTTCTGCTTCTCATCTGCATCTCTGATTTGCTTCAGGCTCCTTTTTAGCAAGTTTGAGGGTTTAGTCTCTGTTTTACAGCTGTGCTGCAAACTGCAGCAGTATCTGCTCTTTCCTGTGAGGTGGCACATTAATGACTACAGCTACGTATATTGCAGTGGCAATATGTGGTAGTGTGCTTGTGCCCACCTACCAACGGAGAGCACCGCTCTCCTCGGCCTCCTGAGCGCTGCAGCCAGCACCCTGCTCTCTCTGGCTGCTCACGGGATGATGCTCACTGCTCCTTCCAGCCTTCCTCCCTGTGCAGTCACTGATTGCCCATCACCTGCCGAGCCGAAGCAACTCGAAGAGGAGAGCTGCAGCGCTTGTGAGCGCTCTGCTGGAGGGGAGGAGGGGAGCGAGAGCATCCCACACAGCAGGAAATGTTTCTCGTCTTGCTCCAGGAATTCAGCACAGGCTTGTGCTTTGGATTGCTGAACCCAAGACTTTATTTCACTCTTTTTGAATGGAAATTTGAATGCTTGTCTGTAGAGAAAGTTACGCTGATTAATCTGAGACGTAGGAATTACTGTGTTTATTAACTGGAAAGCCATCTGGCTTTCCTGTCCTTTAACATACCTCTTTCAGCCTCTTGCTTCCTATATATATCACAAAAAACCACCTTACTTATTTTTAGCAAGCCTGTGCTAGCTTTTGAGAATGAATGGCAGTGCAAGGCACCATCCAGAAATGATGTGGGCTTCCTTTGGGTGAGTAAGGAAAGAAGAAAACAGGGGTGGGAGATGCAATAAACATCGAGAATCTGAGATGCCCTTAGGCTTTAGCCTGGAGTATTTCCTCTGCAGCACAGGATATGGCAGCAGCTGCTGCCGCAGCAGGTCCTTTCTGACAGGGCCTGTTCATATTCGTACTGAGACAGCACCCAAGGCAGAGGCCTGCAGGCTGAAGGTGAGCACAGCAAGGACGAGACCCAAGGCTGAAGCAATCAGTGCTGCCAGCTGGGGCGTCCTAGAGGCAGCCAGGTAAGGATGTGCTGCCAAGGCTCCCTGAGAGCTGTGTACAGCAGTTCCCAAGAAGCATTTCAAGAACATCTGGCTCTGTACCTCAAGGTTCTGGCCGCTTCACCCCAAATCCCTCAAAGCCTTCCTACTCCTTTATGACATGCAGTTTAAAAATAATCAGAAGTATAATGCAATGCAGAAAGATGTTATTTTTATTCTTTTTTTTTTCTTTTTTTGGCTGCTGGGAATGAAAACGCACGAAAAATGTGTTAGGAACAGTGCGTTCCTTTCCATTGTTACACAAGGCATGCCCAGAGAGCAAGCATGGTTTTTTCCTTTCTCTGACCAGGTGTTGCTTATAAGCTGCACAAGAAATACATTTCAAATAAGAAACATAACCCTTAAACAAAAGGTAATTGTTTTACAAATTCAGCCACTTCCAGTGCCCAGCATGCTCTTTGGCAATACAAAGGCTTCCAGTTGCTTCCTATTTTCTTAGCAGTTGCATTCCAGCAGGATTTTATCCAAACACTGTTTATATGTACAGGAACATCTCCTAATGTCTGAGGAGAGGGCTGAGCCTTTGGAAGCTGCTGCCACTGCCTGGGACCACATTTGTTCCATTCCCTGGTCTGTGAGATCTCCAGCCCACCTGAGGGCACAAACTGCATTGGGAAATGACTTCTCATACCTTTTCAATTCCAGCCTTACCATCATGAAGGATCAAACCTGACGGGTGCCTGCTGACTGCTACAATCGAGCCATGGTCTATAGCATTTTCAACATTTTCTTCCAAATTCTAATGTTGCGTAGATAAGTTGTGCTGTTTCTCCCTTAGCTTGATTTTTCCAGATCTTAAAGCCGTGCAACCAGTGCACATCTCCAAGCCCATACGGTGGGAGATCTGAGGTCTTCAGTTTGTTTTTAAGGAGGACTGTTTTGAAGATTCAGAAAAATGTATTTTCCGGGGAAATCAACTTGGAGGATAAGGCAGAGATGGCAGCAAGGTGGGCACTGCTGACTCTTAGCTAGTGACTGAGCTGTGTGATACAGCACACGCATACTGCAGTGAGAAGAAATCAAAGCTGTTTCTCTAACAGCAGGTGAGTTTGTTGAAGATGCTTGGTTGTTTGTGGCTAACATTCATGTAGGAGCAGGACCTCTGGAATTAGCTGTTTATTTCAGGCAGTGCTGTAACAACCTCACAGCACAACAGAAGGTCCAGAGGAACCAACCCTGGGACACCATTATGTTCAGCACCCCTTATCAAATGTACAGCTCATAGATTTGCGTTGCTTTTTATTAATGACTGTTAATGGAGAAAGGTCCTTTAATCAAGTGAAATCTTGATTTATCTGCCACCATCTTCTTACCTTACTAAGAAGCCTGTTTCAAGTACAGGCTTTGTGGCTTGTGTTCACCTCTAATTTTTTGTTTCTCAGTCTCTACTGGGCTTTCATAGCTCACCTAAACTGCAAATTCCATGAACCAAGCATGTAAATTTGCAGCCACTTGCCTCTGCAAAGAGTAAACAGCTCTCAGCCATGAGAACTGCTATTAAAGTGGGCTGTTTTGCTGGCAGAAGTGGCTTTTTCTGTTGCCATGGGTTGCCCAAGGTGATCCTGACCTCTGTGGTCTCTCTGAAGTTCTATTGTGGGTGAGCTGAGCAACAGCTTTTAGAAAGGATTAGCTGAGCCTAACAAATACAGGACACTGCACTAAGAAATTAGTACAACATTGCACAACTAAAGGAGGAGCCCTATCTTCTTATCCCATAGGATCAAAGGCTGAGAACTCGATTATTTGGTAGGGCTGTACTCTGCTTGCAGAGCACAATGCAACAGCACAGTTGCATTGGCAGTCTTAGGGGCAAAGTTCTGCCTTCGCAGGTGCACAAGTGTGCAACAGAGAGAGGTATGTGATTGATGGGCAGAGATGGGGCTGCACTCACCTGCTGGGACTCAGGAGAAGGAGCCTCACTGAGGGGGAGGTGACAAACTGGTGAACCCCTCTTAACACTTCTCAGCCAGAGCAGGTCTGTGCATGCCTGTCCTGGCTGGATCTGTGGCCTTTCACTGATGAGTCTTGCTGCAATCACTCATGCCAAGTATAACATGTCACAAAAACTGTGCCTTGGTACTAATGTGCAATTGAAATAATGTGCGAAGGATGTTCCTAAGAATGACTATTCAGTTTCCAGAGTGAAATTCTTATTTTTTTGGTTGCACACTGGCACCATAGTACATCTGTACACTATCCATAGTGGCACCTAACAATTAATACGGAGTTGAGGCTTCCCGAGAAGGGCACGTGTGTTCCTTGCTAAACTTGCTAAATCCTACAGAAATCTGATGTCTAACAAAATATCTCTGCTTTATCTTTCACAGAGCTTTAATTCTTCAGCTGGAGTAGGTGGGCTGGGCAGAACTGATGAAGAATCTCCTGAGCTGGATGCAGTTTTGTTTCACTTGGGGAGCTGTTTTATGAGACTGTTCTTGCACCTTAAATAATGAATTTTAAAAACCCCAGTGAGCAATGGTGAGTATTGGCTCCCCCTTATACGGCAGCTAAAACCCAGAGTTTCTACCATAGATGGTGTAGGAAAATCACATTAAGAATTTTTGCTTTTCTGTAGAATGCCCAGCACAGCTCTGCCCGGACATGTAACAAATCCTTGGCACTGTCCTGAAGAATGCACAGAAGGCGGCTACAAAGCGTGAGTTGCTTACACACTGTTTACAGGTGGAGAAATATTTTCAGTGTGATCTTTTTGCCTACATCCATTACAGGATTCAAACCTAAAATGAAAGAGATTCTGGGTGCCCAACCCCAACTGATGAGCCAAACCCTCAGCTTGATGCCAGCAAGGCCTTTGTGGCAGGGGAGGGATTGTGAGCACATTTGACTAGTACAGATCAAGTTTGGTGTGTAATTGAGGAAGTCATTGCAATTGAACATCATTGATCCTTATCCTGTCTCCTTCAGCTTGATTCCTTAATCAGCACTCACTTCTCTGAGAGGCTGGAAATATTACCCAGAGCTTTTCTTAAGCATTTTATGATCTAAAACAAGTCCCTGCCTGTAAAGAGCTATTTTCTTCAAAACAAACTTTGTCCCTGCTCCCATGGTTAGCTTGGAAAGCTGGCAGCAGAACTCTGCATCTTTGAAATAGCCTAAGCTCAGCCCATTGCTGCCTTCAATCAGTTGGTTTCACAGTTACCTCTCTGTGATTCTTCACGGTACTATCTAGCATACAGCAGCCAGCTGGCAACGAATACACCGTCTGCTGGAGAAAAAAAATAACAAGAGGAAATATCATCACTGCAAAGCCTGATCTTATGAATTCAGCCAAAAGGAACTATTGCATGCCATCTCGTGGCACCACACAGCTATTTCTCAGAAGTACACTGGAGCTCCAGCTGTGTCGATGAGGTTTAATGTTTGATGGGTTTGCTTAAAAAAATGGCTGCCAGGATTCTAGAAAAGAGCCTATTGTATGGCCAGGCTGAAGCTATGAAGCATTCATCACTGTTAACCCATGTTTGTGCTCTGATTTTTTGTAGCTTCAGCAGCCATCTCCTGGCACTGCAGCAGAGACTCAAGCTGCAGAATGCACCTCTTCTACATGTGCGTGTGATTACTCAAGCAGAGCTGTAGCTGTGCCCCTGCACTTGCAACAGATATCTCAACCACTGAACAGCACTGGCCCCAGAGCAGCTTCTTGTGGAATAGGATGCTTCACCTCACAGTAAGTGACGTGCACATTCTTCATTCTGATTTACATGCAGGGCTTAAGCTGCCCATAGTATGGTGGCTTTGTCTTCTGTCACACAGGAAGAATTCCGTATGTTGGTGTTTAAAATAAAGCTAATATGCCTATTCCTAATTGCTCATTAACAGATGAATACATAAATTCATGGAATGTGGTTAGGTTAGCTGTCAGTCCCTCAGTGTATCTTAAGTACCTCTGTAAAAGTCCCTCTGTTCTAAGGGGAGAAAAGTCATCGCAAAACTCTTGTCAAGAAGTGGTATAGGTACAATTTCAGTAAATCAAGCTAAGGAAATGTGAAAAGCCAGGACAGAGTACAATTGTATGACTGTAGGTCCTTGTTTAAGTGCCTGGTTTTTGACTTTTTTTTTTTTTTTTTTTTTTTTTTTAATGGCTTTTTAGCTGGGAAATTACAGCTGAACTTCTGCACCACTGAATCGCTTCCAGTTTGGAGCCGTGTTACCTTTAGCAGAACTGCTTCTGGCTACACTGAAACACTGCCTTCTTCCATTACTCTCATAATCATCACAACGTGGATATATAAAGCAGTCAAGAAAAGACCTTAATATAGCTAACAGAAATGCATGATTTCAGCCTAAGCATTCTATTCTATTTTTTGGCTACTAGAGACATCTACGCAACTACAGAAGTCCACAGCTTGCAGTAGGAAAGCGTAAAACGTGCCAGGTAACCTGAGGTATTACTGCAAAGAACATCATTCCACACTAACAGAGAAGGCATTAGGTTATGATCAGCATCCTGTTAACAATTGCTCTACATTGAGTATGTGACAAAACCTGTATTTCTACTGCTCTTGGATTAGAGAAGGAAAGCAACTTTGTCAAGGGCTCTGACTGGGACAGTGTGTAGAGAAGTTCCAGGAAAGGCTGTAAGGCCAGTGAGGCTTTATGAAGCTCAGGAATAGCAGACGTTCTTTACATACAGCAAAGAAAAGAGGGAACATCCTTATTACAAAGTTTAATTCTGATATATATGATACCGGAATTACAAAATAAATCAAAAGATACATTCTGAGAAGCTCTGAGCCATGTATTTACCAAGGCAGAGGGACTTCAAATTCCATGCAGTTGAGAAAATAAATTGCTAGCAATGTGAAAAAGGATTTGGGGTCTCTAACAGATCTCCAAATAGATAATAGGTGATGAGGGAACATGCAGTGGTGGGCCAGAGGAAAGACAAATTCTTAAGGGAATAAAGGTAAGACTGGACAACAAGTGTTAGATAAGGCTTCTACTTGAACTAATTTGAAACATTATGATCAGCAATCAAATGCAGCTACTGTTCTTAAGAGTGATCAGGCACACTGCATGGCCAAAAGGAGACAAGCTCCAGATAACTGATGACAGCTAGAAGTCAGACCATGGTTGAAGCATGGATAAGTGAAATTCCAGTAGTACAGAAGGACTGGAGTAGTGTGGAAGGAGCTGAGGCTGTCATTGGAGTACAGCACACGTACCAGGCTACACAGAGTGTTTCATCTGCTTTAATCCTGAACATCGGTTTCAAAAAAACATGAATCACTTGCAGGCAGACTTTGTGACTCACTGCTACAGCGGATCTAACCACTGCTGACCCTGCCTGCATGCTGAAGTCTGGCATTCCTTCTTGGATCCATTCCTCTGGAAAAGAGCCTTTTTACTGGTTTGTACTAGAGAGCTGAGCTTAAACCAGGAAAACTTACAGCATTAAGCAAATAAACGTGCTATTTTCTCACACAGGATGAAATTCCAGGTATTTATTGCTGTATGTCTGCTTAATCCATTAATTTGTCTTACAGTAGTCATGAAGTGCCAAATCGTGTGCTACATGTAACATATCCTGTATTCCCTTCCAAATGCCATTTTACAGTGGGGGTGTGAAGCAGCGTAGCAGCAGTCACAAAACATGGCTTGAGCTTCTCTCAAGAGCTTAAAAATAACATTTGTATACAAGCTGAATACCGACATGTTAGTTAACAGGTCACTCAGCAATTCTAATAGAAGTATCTTCAGGTGGAAGTTTGCACTGTTAAAATTTATGACTCAGACCAAACATCCTCATCCCCACTGCAGTAACAAGATACTTGCAAAGACAAGAACTATGGTACGTAAATGTCACACGCAAGAACTGCTTCATTTCTATGAGAAGCAAAAATTGCTACGTAGAAGCAAGGAGAGGCCTAGCTAAGGCTATCACCTTTATTAAAAACATACACGTCCAAGTTTGGCAGTGGAATTCTATTTACCACCTTGAATGTTTCTTTATTGTGGGTTTGGTTTTTTGTTTTTCTTTTTGGTTAAGTACAAGTACTCTTCTTCCCCTCCCACCAAGCTCACTTTATAAATCCCCTTTATTTTTATTATACCTCCATATTATTTACAGGACTGCTAAAGATTAAGTACAAACTAGTATGAAATTAATGATAGCTTGCTCTTCAAATATGTATCCCATGGCTAAATAAATACCGAGTGATCTGGAGTTACGATTCAGAAGCATGTGTATCTGTGATGCCAGATGCCTTCTCATTACCAGCAGGGGATTCACTCGATCTGTCAACAATAGCTGCCTTAGAAGTTGGGGTAGCACTATCCAAGGTGAGCAGAGAGGTCTGTTCTACGTTTACAGCAGTGCCAGGGTCAACAGAAAAGCTTCCAGCTTGAGTCATGGTGGGAAGCAAATCTGTAGGCACTGTAGATACCTCTGTGACCAAAGGAAGCAGAGGAACGCATTTTGGTGGCATTAATGGAGGTGTTATTCCCATTAGATTCAAAGGCGGCAAAGAAGGAAGGGTTGGCATACCTAAGAATAAAAAAAGAGCAGTCAGCTGCTATATACCACACACAGATCTAAACAGATTCTGTGTTAGCTTAACATTTTCCTTTTTTTTAATCCCCTGTATATCCTTGGAGAGAACTCAGCAAGTTTGTTTCAATGGCTGATGCATTTATTTCAGAATCAAAAAATCAGAACAAACTCCAGTTTGCTTCTAGTCCTCGAGAGAGATGGGACTAAAATACTAATACTGATTATTAGATTTTTCTGGCCAGCAACAAGAAGTTAGTGAGAACTTCTGTGCAAGCTTCTAACTTCTTTTTGCTTGCTCCACGTGCATCTTCAGCACTTTGATTCAAAACATACAGGTAATATTAGTTGAAACCTTTGGCTTCCAATCAAGGTTCTTTGATCTTTGCTAAACAAGGAAACACTCTTTTTTTCTACCTGTAAAACTATGTACTTTCTTCCTTGGCACAGGACAGTCCCTTCGAAGAACATAAATTGTGTAACACAAGATGAAACAACTAAACAGACAGCGGCTTAGCGCTCCTTTCTCTTCAATCTGGGCAGTAACGTCAGCTCCCATTTCCAGCAAATGCTCCATTTATCCTCTTCAGGACTCCACCAGGTGGTTCCAAATGAGCATCAAAGATCGTCATGGAGAGACCCGCTATTACAGCATTTCAGTTTGCAGGAGCACTTACCAGGCTGTACCATTTCCGGAACGATGTGCGGTGCCGGCAAATTAAGTTTGGACAGATCAGTCAGGTTGGGGAGCCCCGCTGGCAATGGCATCAGACCTGAGAGAAGAATGAAAAAATGACAGTTCACAACTTGTTGTTTCTTATCTCTGACTGCTTCTGAGATCTTACTGGTTTTAGTTAAATTTTACGATTCTGCTTTACATTTTACCATTCTTACATACAAAAATGCAGGTTCTCCTGAGTTTCAGCTATGAGGTTGTGAACGAACAGTTGCCTGCTGCAGGAACCCTGTACCAGTAAAATATATAAATCCCAATGCTTTTCTTATTTCAAGAAATTAATAGGTGTTTTTTCCAAAGTTTGGTTTTCAACAAAGATAGTTGTCTGAATGCAACACTGTACCAGAAGCCCTCTTTTCTTAATCTGAGCATAAAAGAATGAAATGAGAAAAGAATGAGCATAACAGAATGAAATTCAGAAGAAAACAGCATTAAAAGGTCAGAAATCTTAATATTAGTACTCGTTTTATAACTGAAGTTAAACACTAAAATTGATAGAAAAGGCAAAACAGCAACTTTCAAAGTTAGGAAGGGTTGAAAATACAACACAAACATGCACAAAACACAACAGATGCCCTTCCATGATTGTGTTTGCTGCAGACCATCTTTTTCCTTCTGATTTTCCTGTCCTAGCAGAGCTGCATTTCTGGCACAATGGCTTTCTTCCTACTTCATGGTTTGATTAGTTCAGGGACCTTTAGCTCTGACTTGAATTGTTGATACTACAGTAACAATGGGGAGAAGAGGGAGAACATCTAAAAGCAGACCACAGCACAAACATTTTGATTAAAAGCAGCCTTCCTGGCCTACCTGGAAAATTATTAGCCACAAAGGCTGACATCATATAAGTCAAAGACCTTTCAGTTCAGTTATAAGCAGTTTGTTTTGATTCTTTGCAATCCCTAATCTGAAATATATGGAACTTCACACAGATTCACTCAAACTTTAAACCTTGATATATTTAAGACTGACAGTTTCACTATTATGCACATGCAAATTGTAAGCAATATCCTGGTAATTTTCCAAAAGGCAACCACACTATTCAGAGGGCAAAGTGTATGAAAAATCTGTACTTTCAGGTTTGAGGAAAGGAGTTATATGCAACAGGAAACGAAAAGCCATTAACAGAAGCTAAACTTAGTGATCTGCCATTTTACCTACACAGTACAAGACTGAAGTTCCCTCCCTGTAAGCTGGCAGTCAGCTTTCCTACTTCCTGTAACCTTCTATGTTACAGAGCATACCTGCAAATATTACTTCAAATCTTAGTCTACTTGTCTCATAGCATGCACAACAAAACAGAGTTCCTTCAGCATTTTGGGACGCACAGCTGGGTCTGGTATTACTGCACCAACAATGTGGCAAAACCCCAGACAAACCTTATTTGCACTACAAGTATTTCTGGCATACCAGTGCTCAATACATTGGTCGTTATCAGAAATAATGCACAATAGTTCTTTAGACAGACATTGTTTTTGTGTTACTGGTTTAGGTTACTAAATAATTCAGAAACAGTAACTGCAAGGTGCAGCTGTATGCTCTTAGCCATCTAGTTATATGAAGAACAAGCTAAGCATTAAAAAGAAGGCCACTAAAATGGAGTCTTAAGAGGTGAAAGGAATGCAGCAACAGGCAAGAAATGCCTTCCCGCATTTTTTGCTACCCTGATGTCTGAGAGAAAAATACAAAGTGGCATGCAGCTTCACAGTTTCCAAAGTATTTTGCAGCATACATTGTATGAAGCGTAACAAGTAACAATGTACCACCTCCAGGACCACAGCAAATTGCATAGCTAACGCCTGGAGAAATCCCAATGGTCTGTCTATTGTGCAGGGGCCTGACGGGTCAATAATTATCAGCTCTCTTTCCAGCTCAGCCCTCTGTGCTACAGACATGCTGTGCACATGGCTCTTCAAAAACAATTAAACATTACAGAGGATGCATAAAAGCGTTTTGATATTAAATGCCTACGTTGTGTGAAGCTGTAGTCCAACCAGCCCCAAAAAAACAGTGGAAGAGACTGGCCTTTTCCTTTTTCTTTTTAAGTTTTTGTTTCAGGAAGGTCTCAAGCCATGTTACCTACTCACCAGGTAGTGTTGTTGCTGGGTTAACAGGTGGCACGGAGGTAAGGGACTGACTGACCTGTGGTGGTAACAACGGGACTGTCGGAACTCCTGCTGGAGCACACAGGAAAACAGACGTCAATTTTAAGAGTACTACACTTCAGTGACTGTAGTCCTCAAGAGAGTACAAATGAATAATTGCTCACAGGAGATTCTTATTTGCCTTAAATAACCATGAAACACAAAGAAAAATAGTATACGATAAAAATAGAATAACACACATTTTCTTTCTGACAAAAGTTATCAAATCTCTTCTGAACAAATAAAGAACACTCACAGTGTGAAATACATTATTACAGCACTCTAGCCTTTGTTGTTCAGAAAAGTTTGGGAAAGAGAAAGAGAGAAGTTTATTTTCCCTCCTGCCCTCTTTTAAACCAATGGAAACATAGTAAGTTTTTCAGTCAGTCTACCTGGGCATTTCAGGAGTAACTTCCATACTGACCTGTACTGAGAACATTACTGACAGCAGTCGAGGATGAGCTAATAGAAAGTCCTGACAGACTCTGCTCGAGTCCTGCTGGCCCAGGGGGTAATGCCGGTGAGGGGTTAACTGATGACAGCTGAACCTTTCCAGCAGGAAAAAAAGAAAGTTTCATAATCGGGGTTGGTTTTCGTAAGAACCAAAAAAAGCAGAAACCCATAATCCAAATTACAGAACCAAAGAGGTGACTGCAGCTTACCTCTGTAAAGCCATCTTTGAGAGGACTGAGAGATGCACTGGGCAGCTGTCCTGGGAGAGAGATTTTCTTTCCCTCTTCAAATGGGCGTGTAGGTATCCTATGCAAATAACCATAGCCAATGCCACACCCTAGGCTTTTAAAAATGAACGCAGACGTCAGTAAAATGACTTCATTATCAAGACTCCACAGGAAGCAATGAACAAATGACTCAAGGTGGCAGCAAGTTTCAAGATCAGCTCTGTACAATCAGTTGTGTTTACAGAAAAAAAGGCCAAGTATCTGCTATGGAGAAACAACACCATGAGACAACAGAACCAGGAATTCTGTAACTTTCAGCAATAAACATTTAGCACAGAAGTTTCATTGTTATTTAAACCAACCAGTTGTATTAGCTGTATCACTATAGAATTCAACTTGTACCTGTTGTTTGCAGCTGCCTGTTCAGGGTACTGTGCAACAATGCAGGAATATACTACAGCCTCTGTTGTATTCGAACTCTAATGCAGAAAGCATTACTAACTAAAACTGAATTTGAAGTAAATACGTAATTGACTACAGCAGAAACCCCTTGGATATAAGGCAAGTTTTTTTTTTGGGTATTGCAAAGAACTGAAGCAAGCAGCTTTTAGACTAGTACTGTAAAAAAGTTGTGCCACCCCTCTTTGCTCCCAGTAGTGTACTTTTTCCCTTACCTGCCTTCTCCACCCCAGGCAGAATTTGGAGTTATCACCACTTCCCGGCAGTTATCTGTGTCTGTGTTATATACATAAAGTTTTAATGGCTTTGCTTCATGTGTTTCAATAAGGGAGAAGAGATCTTCAGTCTGCAAAAGGATAATAACGACCTTATTTATCATGTTGTCATTATAATTTGACATGACACCAGCTTCCTAGTCCTAATTTTCCACAACAATCATAGTAACTGCTACACAGTGCAGTCGTGGTGCTGCTGTTTTATCCCACTGTCAGCTGTGCTTCGCCAGCACAACTCAGA